TTTATGTGCCGCGATAAATGGGCTACTCGATTGAGAGGAAGTTGCAACGATCTGGTTACCCTGCCTTCTTAAGTTCTTATGTCATTTTCACGCGTGAATATCTTCATTTTAAAAAAAAAAAAGAAAAAAAAAAAAAAAAAAAAAAAAAAAAAAAAAAAAAAAATATTATTTAAGGGGGGGGGGGGGAGGCCCGAAGAAAGGAAGGGGGGGGGGGGGGGGGGGGGGGGGGGGGGGGGGGGGGGGGGGGGGGGGGGGGGGGGGGGGGGGGCCTGGGGGGGGCGGGGGGGGGGGGGGGGGGGGGGGGGGGGGGGGGGAGGAAGGGGGGGGGGAAGAAAAAAAGGAAGGGGGGGCCGGAGGGGCGGGATCACAGTTTGTGTGAATTTAAAAAAAAAACCCAAAAAAAAAAAAATCGGGATAATTTCGAATAAATTTAATAATAATTAACGTGAGCATCAAATATATAAAATGTTTTAAAATTCGAAAACTAATGCAATGTACTTAAGTTTTTCGTCGTTTCTTTACTGTATCTTACTGTCAATTGTGTCTACGTTGACAGACTTACTTTAAAAATAGGTAACACAAGCAACGCCTGGACCGATTTTGTGTTTAAAAATGAATAGAAAACAACATAGTTTTTTTTTTACGCATTTATATAGTTGACTTTTAGAAAATTAAAAGAAAATTTAAGAAATTTGAAAGCTCAACGGTTTATTAAGTAAAACTATTGCCATAATATTACAAAAAAAAATTAAAATATATGTTACGTATTCACGAGAGTGAGAGTATTTCAATTGAAGGGATGAAAATGTAAGTTACTAACAGAGTGTATCGCTTCTCTACAAATGTTTGATATCTGCTTCAACGGACACATTCGGTGCAGCTTTGGGGTTCTGTATAAAGCTGAGAGCTTCCAAACAATTTTGTCTTAATGAACAATTATCTGGCAGGGCTTTTGAATTAGCTATAGCCATATGAAGCATGTTCGAGTTAATATTTTTATATGAAAAACGGAAATAAACTAAAATCGACAAAAGACAAATTTAATTTTTTTTAACCTATTTGCGCAATCGCTATTTAAAACCTTATACTTAACTCGCAAGCCAATTGTTATTATGTGATTGTATATAAATAAAATAATTATATTTGCAATGTATGTTAGTATTTCCACACTAGATTTAGTTAGAAAGTTGATATTATTCAAGAAATAAATGTGTTTGAAATATCATGCAACTTATGCAGGAAGAGGCGAATAATTAAGTTTCCTAGCTTAGTTTTTTCTTTTTCGTTAAAGCTAATAATATCATCCTCATGCATAACAGAGTTCCTTGTACAATTTGTCTCTAACCTTAAATGTACCTACGCTAAGTAATAAGAATATGGGCTGGGCATGATTTGAAAGATTACCTTTTAAACGACTCCTTGAAGTTCGTAACGAGAGTAAACTTATCTTATACCTGGCAACATAAACGCATAAAAAAAAATCTGTGGCGCTACAACCACTAGCCAAACCATTAGCCACTGAGGCCTCTAAGTCGGCTAGTCAGTGGTTATACTATTCGAGCGTCCTACCTTAAAGTCGGAGGAAAACCAGCTCCTTCGTTTCTCTAGTGTGTAGTGAGAATTCTCAATTATTTCATTCTGTGACTTCTCAGTTACATTTACTGTCTACAAAAATATAATAGTGACACTTAGAACGAAGAAGAAGATTTGTGTTCATGGTACCAAATATGCAGTACTTTTTAAGACAGCTAAAGCGTTAACTGACAGGTGCTTTTATCGTTTTAATATGACTTAAAAGTTTACTTTTTATTTCTGCCATCGACTCCGAAACAAGAACTTTTATAATGCCTAAAAGTCATCTGAAGTCGACTCTTTATTCAATTTATTCCCTTCTTTTAATAGGAATCTTATACGGAACCACAACACCAAACATTAAGCACCCGCCCGACCGCATCCTTCTATTTGCCGGCAGTTCGTTAGCTCGCCGTGTCACACTAACACCGTCCGTATATTTTGCTAGGTATTTTTAGAAAATTGAGTTTTTACCTTGCGCTATGACACTCCATTTTATTTAATAACACTGCTATCAATTTCACAGCACTTTTATTATAAACATCTGTATCAGTAGAGTGGTAGTGTTGTTTACTGTTTAAATTATTACACAGCTGTAGTACCCTATAAACTGTAGTAATCAAAATAAATGTTACTACAATCAAAATTTTGTAAAACATGCTCAACGAAACAAACAGAAAGCAAACTTTTTTTTAAATTTTACGTTAAAAATTTTTATTTATAATATGTATGCAGTTTATCTTATTTAGAGGAGTAATGCGTCCACCAGTGACGTCGTGCGTTTGTATCAGGGCTGTGATCCAATAGAATTTTCTTTCTATGTGCGCAATTAGCACATGTTCTTTCAGTGAAAGCAAACATCGTGAGGAAATCGGCATGTTCACTCAATTCGATGCCAAGTCAGACACAGATAGCTGATCACCTAATTGTCTATCATTGATACAGAAGCAATCGAAGCCAAGGCCCCTATAGTGCTGTAACGCCGCTGGATTATTATTATTAAACAAATTATTTTTTCCTTAAAGTGAAATGTGCCACAAATTGAAAGTATTTCTCCTAAAATAAATCTTAATAAATTTCACCTTGAATTGACAATTTTACAATTTAGACCACAATATAATTTACGCGTATTTTCTACGAATAAATTAAATAATCTAGTACGTATATTGTTTTGATTTAAAACAAATAGGTCGTATTAAATTTTATTAACTTATACCGCACTTATACTAAAATACGTCATGCACATCGAAAACAATTGCTTTAATTCATTAACTGAATCAATAAACGTCAAATTAGTACTAATATTAGAGGAAACCAAACAAAGCCTATAACATTTTAGGCTTTGTATAGGACTTAAATTCAAAATAATAGCTATTGCTATGAAGCGATTTTATTTGCATCACTAAACACCTAAAGGCCTTTCACACAAATTAGTTTCTGTTACTCTTTGGTCCTTTCTAGTTAATTGCTATTGTATTCCGTAATTATTCTCAATCGTAAATATCACATCAGACAACAACATTAAATATGCAAGAGACTTTTAACAGGAAATAAACAAAACACGATCATTGCGCAATTTTAATTTTCCATTTAATTCGGCTATAAATTTCGGATAGAGGATTATAAAAACCAATAAAGAACTTCGGGTTTAAGATTTTTTTTAAAATTGTTACGACTTATATAACTAAGTGACGGTAGGAAGGACACATAGTGCGCATGGGCAAGAACCGATGGACCCTCGGTAAGCTCTTTGAATGGAGACCTCGGCAGAACAAAAACCGCACGGCCACCCACCGACAGAGTGGACTGACGACATCGTCAAGGAGGTTGGCTCCCAGTGGATACAGAAAGGCAACTGTAGAGCGTACTGGAAAAAAATGGAGGAGCCCTACTACGGCCAGAAATTGACCAAATAAAGAATAAGATAATGAACCGACATATCTTCCAAACATAGCGCCAAAAAACGCACAGAATCTACGTTTGTTCTGCGTAAAAGATTTCGTCTGAAATGTTCTTAGCTTATTATAGATAAATTCAAATTGTTTTCATAGAGTCCTCTGTGGTTTTGGGCGGAATGAGGGTTAGCAAACCAAATTGTATGTTATCTAACCTCAGATAATTGCTAGTACGGAAATAATTTAGCTTCGGTTAAATTTTCACCGATACTATAAATAGATTGAATGATGCGATTCAAATTGCATTTGTTACCATTTTGTGAATAATGTCACATTAATATAAAATTTAATATAGATTTAGAAACGTATGTTTAGGCTTACCCTTTTATATTAATTCATATATTGAATTGTATATTATGCAATAACTACAATATATTAAAAGTAATATAAGGCGATAATTCATCGTCAATACGAATATCAAAAAAACAAAAGAGCAAAACAACTATTTACTTATTTTATTAGTACTTAACACAAATTTTGAAATAATTCGTTTAAGAATTGTGACAGAATTCACTCGCAAAACTACAGATTTTTCCATTGCCATGTACTAGGGAGATATTCTAGTCAAATAAATTGAAAACTCGTTAAAACTAAAACTATCAACCCTGATGAAGTATAATTTTTATTTATGCCAACCATAAATATGTTTTTTTAACCTATACAATCATTTAGCGATTGACTAGAACCGCGTCGTATTTCATAGGTTCGAAATTCAAATCTTATCTATAAGCTATTTCTAATTCCTGCCCGTAAAAAAGCGATGTAAGAAAGAACTATGTGAGGGGGTGCGGTAACCGGTGCCTCAGCATCCTCATTTGGTGATGATGAAACAATATCTGAGCATCTCCTTCTCCAAAGGACTGCTAAACCCTAGTGTATATACTTTTGTGTGAGCATATTTCTGTCCCTGTAGATTTTTTTTTTGTTTGTACGTCGTTCGTCAAGCTACATATCAATGCACCGCCCACGCATGTGTAGCCGGCCTTTCAACATTAATTAAACGTAATACTTCATAATTGAGATATTATTTTATGAAATTTGAAATAAGATCTTTCGAAAAGGCTTGCCAAAATTACCCAAATACAGGAAATCCACGCGAGCGTAACTATGGGGGAGCTGCCCTGCGATTCTGTAACTCACTTTTCGAACTCACACAGCGGTTTGATTTGGCATTCTGAAAAGGAGGGAGCTTGTAGTTTGTTGTTTATTAGAATGCCAAATCATAAAATGACTGCTTCACGACTGATTTAAGAGCGACCGCCGATGCAAAAACCGCTGTGTGAGTTCGAAAAGTGAGTTACAGAATCGCAGGGCTGGTAAAAATCTCAGTTAAATGCCAACCCTAATGGAGAATTTTAACTACGGTTAATATTTTTTTAATTTCATATCATGACATATCGCGGTGGTAAAATTAATTAAACCGTAACTTCTAATTAATTGGTTCGTTACTAGAGTGAAAATATTCTTATCGTAATGCTTGCGAGGGACAACTGGGTTTTTGCTTTAATCATTTTTAATATAAACGTGAGTTTAATTTAATATTCTGTTAATGAAGCGAAATGACGATGTAATTTTGAAATATATTAAAACCATATTATTTTTAAACGCATCATTTCAGTACTAATTACACCATAAAAATTATGTTTCTCCTTGTGTGTAATATAGAATTCTAAAAAGTTGTTATTCTTAATATAGATAGTGTAGGTTTTTAATTTTATTAGTTGTTGTTTATTTTCATTACCATTTATTTTTCTTGGTTTATAGACATAAGATTATGTACTTGTGTTTTACAAACACACGAATATTTTTTTGTCAATTAACACGTACAAATAAATTCTAAATATTTAGCTACAACAGAATCATTTCAGACCTATTATATAATTTACCAGATTTTATAAAAAATTTGCGATCTTCTCGCATAGGGGTCTCATTGGTCTAGGGGTGGGTTAGTACCCCTGACTGGCGAATCCATGGGTCCCGGGTTCGATCGCCCGGCTGAGACTAACATTGATGTGATGAGCATTTGGTGTTGGGGCTTAGGGGTCTTGGGTGTTTAAATATGTATTTATATGTCTATCGATCCAATATTACATTCGCACTAAAGATATATTTACGATATTCCTAACATACATCGTAATGGTAACAATATTATGTCTATCTATCTATAATATGTATGTATATCCGTTGCCTAGTACCCATAACACAAGCTTCACCAGCTTAGCATGGGACTAGGTCAATTGGTGTGAATTGTCTTTAAAAAAAAAAAAAAAAAAAATAGGATATTAACATCGAACAAGGTAGTCAGAATTAGGCAGTTTCTTAGTAAAAACAGGGACGCGAAAAACTATTAGGTCTGGGTCTCAGATTTCTGTATCTGTTTCGTTATCATTTGTTTTTTTCTAATAGGCAAGTAGGTGACCATCCTTGTGGTGACCGACGCCGTCGAATTTCAGGTCTAGGTCGGTTTCCTCATGATATTTTTCTTCATCTGCATATAAAAAATATCTCTTGCCTCTAGGCCAACACTAGCCACTCCCAATTATCCTGATTATCTAGTAGAATCTTACTACTGGGGCGAAGATTTTTCATACATAAATATCTTATCTATTTCTATTATTAAAACAATTTGTCCGCTAGTCCCCACGCAAGGTTTGTTACCTGGACACCTTGTATTGACTGTACTCTTTATATAATAACGTTGTTTAATGTAACCCACAATGGACAAATTAAATGTTTCTAAAAGCATTTATGGAAAATGTTATATAAAAAAAACCGCAGTCACATCTGAATGTCCGTTTCTTTGATTATTTTTCAGCAGATGGGTGATCAGCCTTATGGCACAAAAGTGCCATACGTCAATTATTGGTTTATATGCCCAAAACGCTTTTGCATGACAGAGCATGTTAAAGAATCCTTTTGTGCACAGCTGCGGTTTGACAGGACAATCGCAATGTAAGCACTAGACTAACACGGCCTTGCGATTCTGTAACTCACTTTTCGAACTCTCACAGCGGTTTTCGTAGCGGCGGTCGCGCTCAAATCGGTCGTGACGCAGTCATTTTACGATTTTGCATTCTGATAAGGAGGGAGCTTGTAGTTTATTGTTTATCAGAATGCTACAGAATCGCAAGGCTGCACTTAAAGAATTATTGTTGTATATCTATATTAGCTAAAATTTTACTTCCATTTCAGTCCGCATTACCACATAATGTAATACATTCTATAAAAGACGGCAAAGGCAGCTCTCCTATTGTACTGTTACTGAACATAAAGCAACGAACGGGAACAATTTATGACTTGGATCAAAAAGTTACAAGTAACATTGAAGTGACTACGAATGATGTCGCAGATGAGAGTGACAATGGAGCCTACTTGTTATATCATTTATTGCGAGTGAGATAACTTAATATTCGCTAATCAGTAGTATGTATACAGAAAACACTTTTTAAACGGATTGAAGTTATGTATTATTATAAATTTACAATTATTGGACATAATTTTAAATTTAACCGACGTTTCGCGTGCTTTATTACAGCGTGCGTGGTCACGGTGACTGAAGACAAAAGGTGTTGAATATCAAAAAGTATCACAGCTGTTGAAAAAGTTGTATTATCTGTATTTGTTTCGCCGGAGTTGGTATAGACTAAAAGATGGAGGGTTTTGGCAGAAATGGCTCACGGTGTCCTCTTAATTAGAGGTTCACCGTGGTCACCGTGACCACGCACGCTGTAAAGCACGCGAAACGTCGGTTAAATTTAAAATTATGTAAAATATTCAATCCGGTTAAAAGGTGTTTTCTTTAAATGTGTAAAGGTTATGTCAATAAAAGACAATACTACAGACAGACAGTAGTATGTATGTTGTTAATTCCATCTGTATGGTCGAAAAATCGATACTAAAGTACTACCAACAGCAGCTGGTTCCACATATTGGAGCCCACTGAAGTATTTCCGAACCAATGCGACGTAGGGTTCTTCAAGAAAAGAGCGTACCAATTTTTAAAAGGACGCAAAGCACTCGCGAGCCCTCGTGAGAGTGGGTAGACAGAGGTATCACTTAACAACTGGTAAGCCTCCTGCCCGATTGCCTCCTGTTCTATTAAAAAACTTAATCAATCTTAATTTGGGCAGGATACGAAACCACCTCTGGTTTGTTTCATTAAAAACGAACAATGTTAGTACTACGATTACAGTGATATTTTAATGGAAATTGTTTTGAATAATATTTGTTTCGACTAAAAATTTTGTAATTTCATTCACAAGGTTTTAACAAAGTCTAATATTAAAGTCCAGGTATGCAATAAGCTGGGCTCTTCACAACTCCATGTTAGTTTAAATTGGGCCATTGTATAAATACAGCATTACGCTTATTTACCAACGCGACGTAGCAAAACTCTTCTGGCGTAATGCCAGGACCTCTCGGGGGCCTTAACTAGTTATATAAAAATTTGATAGCTTACTGCACTTCTGAACTAAGCAGCTAGCGACAAATTAAACTGAAAAGGGTTATTTTTCACGCTATTCTCGCTGGTTTGGATTTTTCTCTATATTATACGTCGTAGTTTTGTTTTATATTACATATATTGCCTTTATCTGTTGTATACACAGACAACCCAAGAAAATGAGGACCTGGATGAGTCAACGAACAGGACCTTTGAGAAAACCAAGGACATGCTGCGGGCCGCTCTCCGGTCTAGATGCAATAAATTGGACCGTTGTGTCCGTCGTTGTGTAAAAAAGAGATACACTTGCACTGTAACTTGTAGAGAAGAGATTGACGTCTATGACGTATGCCGTCAGCCTGTATGTGGTAAATCCTGCTGGGGCAAGACCATGCCACCATCTTGGCTAAAGTAAGAAATAAAACTGTGAATTTATTTTGTTTGTATTTAGAATATCCCAATATCTTATCGTAGTGATTTAACAGTCATATTCAATATATCAAGAGATCGCTTTAAAGGAGCTTTCTCTCTTAAAACTTAGAATTTCGTTTATCTATTCTCTATATTAGGGACCAGAACAGAATATATAATTCTGTGGTCATAGATCAGACAATGATAAGTACATTCATTAGTTTATCGAGTATTTCATATTTTAATAGTGCCTTCAAGATTTCTTAATAATTTAATTGTTTGTAAGTTTGCATTCTGACCTATGGCCACAACTATATATCCCACTAATATTATAACCACGAAAGTTTGTAAGTATGAATAGATGTTTGTTACTCTTTTACGTAAAAACCACGGAATGGATTTTAATGAAACTTTACAATAATATAGGTTATACATCAGAATAACATATAGGCTACATTTTATAAATATATTGTGTGTATTGTCCAAAATATCCAGTAAGTAGGAAAAAATCTACCATCTGCAAGCTATTCTGCCGTGCGCTGCCAAAACCACTAGAGTTACACATATGTAATGTATGATGGAAATGTTTATCTTAAATAGTCCTACAAAAAAGCCCGCCACAGTATATATCTATATCTTATGTGTAAGCCATTATAGCAAAAATAGTGAACTATAATTTCAATAAAAAAAATATTTCAAATACTATTTACTACTAATAAATTGATTCCTAAATGAAAATAGATACTTTTATCGCTTCTGATACTTATAGTAGATAAAATATGTCTTTCACGCTACATCATTTGGACAAATATTATATTAATCCTGAACAGACGAAGTCGCGGGCTAGTATAGTTAAACAGAAAACGTATAAAGGACAAGACGCAAGATACAGTTATTAAGGAAAAATATAAATTCAAATAGGAACAATAGACAATCGCATCTTACTTTGTTCAAATACAAAACGAGAGCGTGCTCAAAGCCAAGAGTACTTTAATATTTCCATATCTATTGATAATCTTGTCTAGTGTACAACAATGCAATCGAAGCCACTCGACTATAACCACTAGTCGTGGAATCTTGTTAGAAGACAACATTGATAAAATATTGTACAGGGAGGTAGTCGAACCAGAAGTCCTTTTATAATTTATGATTCATATTTTACTATTGAAGTATTAAACCCTCTTTTGACTTCTGTTGATTAAAATTCCAGAGTTTATTTAAGAAAAACAATACAACGATTACATTAGCAATTCGACTTAGGGTCCTTCAAGAAAAGAGCGTACTCATTAAAAGGCCGGCAACGCACTTGTGAGCATTGTGTGAGCCCATTTGCCTCGTGTTACATTAAAACAAAATCTTGTTAGAAGCAAAATTCTGACATACGTTCGATGTGTGACAGTTATTGTTATTTGTTATATTAGAATTTAGAACTAAATATTCTCACTGAAAAAGTAGCTAGAAATAAAATTATTTCGTTTATTTTGGAAAAGTTCCTTTTGATCAAAAAAAATTTAAAAAAAAACTTATAAAGTCCGTTTCCTGATCCCTACAAAAGCCTCCTCCAAACCCTTTCTTTCGGCCAGTTCCTTGATCCAATCTTGCCCAAACCCTGCCTGCAACTTTATTTGCAGTTTGCAGTTTTATTTCATCTTCCCATCGTGCATGTAGGCATATCTGCTACCTTGAAAACAAACAGAGATTATTAATTTAGAAAATTATTCATATTTAATTAATTATTAACAATTACATGTAAAGGGTGTCTCAGCGCATATTTCAAACCTTAAATATTATGTGTAATACTATAATTGCAGTAAATTATATGTATTATGCCCGCCTTCCACTGCGAGCGGGACGGACCCAGTACGGACTCCGCTATACTCGTAACGATGATTTTCATACATGTGCTTCCACCAAAGCGGAGACGAGCGCAGCGGAGAGAGCGAGTTGACCGAGTTTCGGAAATGAAATTAAAACATTGAGAGTCCGAGCGTGTCCGTGAGTGAGGGCTTAGCGAGTACGGAATATTAGACCGTCAAAATGTCTTCCATCACGGTGAACTTCTGTCTTTAAGTCCTTTGTCATTACATATAGCACAATTACTATTTAATATTTTTTCAGGGGGTTTTTAGAATTTTCTTTCTAGTCTCTACCTGTGTGAAAATAAAATCACAAACGGTTCTTGATTTTTACAACAGACTTTTGTTCAAAACTTAATAATGCGAAGAGTTGATATGATTCACTTTTGTCTACTTTTAAAGCCCAGTTAACATTCATGTTCCTACTATCTTCGGCTACAAACTGCGATGATTGAGAACACTAATAATTATTCCAAGCTAGGAAGATATTTATAATAAAGAAACAAAGAGGCTACGCCGAGGCCGGACTCCCAGTCAGGTCGGAGGGTTAGAAGCTGATTTTTTCGGAAACTTTTATATCATCCTCGCTGAGACCGTCGCAAACACTGTGCTTACCCATTACGGTGCACTGTTCTTTATCTTTAGTCCTTGGTCATGATGGGTTAAGCATCGAGCATATACGGTACGCTGGTTCTCATATACATAGGTTATTAGCCATGCTATACTTTTTGGGGAGTATAAATCAAGTACCCCCCCAATATCTTATGGGAACATTAGTTTATTCGGTTGTAAAAAACAAGACAGGAGATTTGGGGGATGGTTCAAACTACAGGCCTATATCGCTGGCGAATATTATTGCTGGGTCTTTGAAGGTTTGCTTTCTCAGTAAATCTCTACATTTCACGATACCGTCTTTATGTGCTAAATCTTAAACAGTCAGACCTGCCACGGCGTATTGGCCGTTTCCCTGGACCTTCCAAGGCATTGATTGGATTGCTTGATCTCTTTAAGAAGCTAGACAGACTTTTAAGTTTGTTCAACCAACTTAATAATGTTAAAAGATGGGTGGATTGGCATATGATGCATTTGAAGGAAGACTGAGCTTTTTGTCTTACTCTTTAAAGTATTATATATAAAACGCTTTGATTGAAACGCTTAGCCAGGGGGGGGGGGGGGGGGGGGGGGGGGGGGGGGGGGGGGGGGGGTTCCCCCCCCCCCCGGCGGGGGTGGGGGGGGGGGGGGGGGGGGGGGGGGGGGGGGGTTTTCCCCTCCCCCCCCTGGGGGGTATATGCGGCTAGTCATGGTTTGAAATATAAGAAAGCGAGCATTGTTAACATTTTAAACATGTTCTACATATCTTCGGCAATTTACACCCGAACTCGGGACGATGTGATATTGAAGGGAACGGAGGTGGTGTGTCAGGGCTAACATGATGATCGCCGCAGGTTTGCACGATGCTCAATTGAGGAAAGAACCTTGTTTATAGCATTCTGCACATCATTCTATACGAGCGCCTTATGGTCGAAATATACTCGATTTCATACAACGCTTTCCGTATCCAATATAAAAAAATGGGTTCGGGGTGCTGTTGCGGCTGCCTCGATTCTGCAGCGCATCGGGGGAGTGTTTTGCTGAGGCGCGGGTGGATTGTTTTAGCCACCATACGCAAGAGATGTGCATCCTTGGTGCGCAGGGTGGGGGGGGAGCTAGCGGTAACGGTATCCTCCGCATTATCGCGGACCGAGTCGATTGCCCATACCTGAATCACTGTTCCTCTATTTCATGGGAATGATTCGGTATGAATTAATGTAAACATACTAACACTTAGATTTTAGGGATTAAGCTGTAATTTACTAACATTGTTATGGAACCTTGTTTTCTGAATTAAACAATTAAATTAAATTATAATTTCTCGAATTTGGTCACACTCGAATTCAAAATTTCATCAACATCACCTTGATGGCTGGAAGTCTTCCACAGTCCGTTTCACAAGGCATTTTCTTTTGCGAACTAGCGAACTGTGGAATCGACTCCCGGTGGGGGTCTTCCCTGACAGATACGACCTCCAACTATTCAAAAATTCGAGTGCACTCCTTCCTCAAAGGCCGGTAAGCACCCACTAAAAATGGGTGTCTATTGGCTGCGATGACTGCCCTTTTTGGGCGTCCCGCAGGCTCGTTTACCCCCTATTATATAAAAAAACTAAGGTTTCAGGCCAGCTAGTCTTGAGTTAGACTGGTCGAGGACCCTTTAGGTTGGAGAAAGACCAGCAATTTCCTACCTGTGAAGGTAGGAAGTACCTCATACAATTAATTTAGTTACAAATTCTATTCGAATAATGTTCGTGTTTTTGTTTAGTTCCAAACACGAGAACGGCTTATAAGGATTTACATTCAAAAATAATATCTTATATAATTATATCTACAATTTGATTTTACACATTTATCTCACGATTATGAAAATCTGCAAGCGTATCAGTATAATAAAGGGAATTTTTATAATATTACTTTGCCTTGAAGAGCAGTGTAGGCCAAGTGGCTTCAGCGTACGACTGCGACTGCGAACCTGCCAGGCAGGTTCGAACCCCGTCTGTGCACCAATGGACTTTCTTTCTATGTGCGCATTTAACATTCGCTCGAACGGTGAAAAATATCTTGAGGAAACCGGCATGACCCAAAAAACTCGATGGCGTGTATCAGCCACAGGAGACTGATCACCTAAATAGGCAAATGCCTATGATCATGAAACAAACAGTAATCTAGCTAACCTAAAAAGGTTTAACGCCACTATTTTATTTCTTTGTATGTAATTGATCTATACGCTGTTTTAAATACAGTCTTCTTGTCTCATTCCTCTTTACAAAACATCATAAACACTGAGTAGTATGAGTACGAGACGTATCACGTAAGAGACCTATGCGTACTTACTACAATTACAACTAATACATACGAATGTTGTGCCTACTTTTGAATAATTCTTATATAGAAATTTTATATTTTTATTATTATATTGATATATATACGTGTATTTCAGAGCAATCGAATCATTTAATTAGTAAAAAAACATATTGTTAGCGCTTTTTATAAGCTTTATAGGTCTTTACACGTCCCGGCAGGCATACATATATCAATCAATCAAAATCATTTATTCATATGGGTAATAATGTACATGAGAGAATTATACATTAAATGCTTCCAATTTCACATTTACTGTCAGTTCACAAATCAAGGGTGTAGAACGGAAGAGAAGAACTGGCAATAAACTCTCCGCCATTCTTTTTAATCGCCAAGTTTTTGTTTTACACAATGTTTGTAAGGAGCTGCAACCATTACACCATGTTCCACATGACATCTTAAGTAATAAATAGTTAATCAATAATAATAAAATAAATTAAAAACTAGATTCGTCTTCTATCAGCAGGAGGCATGGTGAAATAGGAACAGGCACTAACATTCCCGTGGGAACAACACGCAAATACATAATATATGTTTTTTTACATTTACATTTACTTTTGGTGGTAATGTGATTTCTATATTGTAGTGAGGACTTCGCACTGTTTTCGGACTTATACGCACATTTGGTGTGTTGTGCGATAAGTCTTTGTTAATTAATCCAGCGTAGCTCCTTCCAGAAGCTTAGGAGTTTCCTGGCCACTTCGCTGACATCACAGAGTGACACCACTGCTACGAGGATTTCTGCTCGTTGGGAGGCTTCCCAGCCACGCATTCTAGGACTACGTGGGTGACTGACTATGCCCTGAAACAGCCTCTGCAAAAGGACGGCGCCAAGACCAAAGAGATGTTTATTTAGGACACAGTGGCCGGTATTTGTCCCTATCATTATGTATCATTATTCTGTTACTCTGTAACACACCCACTCGCCCACACACACACACACGCACGCACACACACACATAGACACGCACACGCGCGCACACACATAGACATACACACACACAAACACGCACCAAATTTATTTTTACGACTCCGTTCGCAATGTTTTCTTTTAGCACTTACTTATTTTCTTCTATTGTATCTTATGACAATGACCTGATTGTACATGTCCGGAAAACGTACAATTAATCAGGTGGTGGAGAGGCTGGCTATCTGTCACTCAGGTCTCCTGTTACAGAGACCAGTCTCTCACATACACTTCTTAATGTCTTAGTTTAATCATAATAACCTTGTATGTATATGTGAGAGAAGAAATAACGATTATTATTATTATTTTGAGATAAATTCTGTTGCGGCTTAGAAGTCGCTTTGCCAATAGCGAGTTTACTGCTGGCAGTGTCATTTTGTACTGTCTGCGTCCGCGCTTTGCGACCCACGGTGTTCTTGAAGTTCTGTGGATCTTTGACGAAGACAGTTTCGCATTTGCGAGAACGACAAGGGAAGGAGCCGGTTCTGTATCAATCCGAAACAATCTTTTGCTTAGAATCAAACCCGTGATGGGTATTAAAACCACAGCGGTGAACACTAAGCCCCTTGTAGGTAGTTATCAATATATTCATTTGTAAATATTATATAAATTATATATACACTCAAAATGGTAATTCATTTTCTTACTTCAATCATCATAAAATTAATTCGTCCATTTAATAGATTTATAATTAACTTGATTAATTCTACGGAAGCGAATATTTTCATTAAAACATTTCGAAGAGCGAAGGAAGAAGTGCAAAATGTCAAAATTTATTCAAATCAAATTGATCCTTCATTTCATTTGTTTAATTGTCGCGGTGAGTATATTCCATTATACTTAATTATCCTTAATTATGAACAGCTTATTAAAAAGGTTTCGGATTTTTAATTAATTTTACTTAAATCTGCATGTCGAGTCAATGTATTTATTTAAAACAAAAGATTTGTAATATTGATATGGTCCCTATAAGATTTTGTTAAGTTAGCTAATTACGTAATAACTTAAGAATGTCCTTGAAGTAGAATTAATAAATTAACCGACTTGGTATAACATGAATTCTACAACTTTTTACGGTAGAAGAATATACCGTATGTTTTTGATAGCATTTATTTATTTACAAAGTAGCCGTTCGCAAAAGTTCAAAAACTACTTGGAGCCTACATAGTTTTTTTATAATAGTTTCCATATATTTCATATAGACCAAATTCACGTAGGTACTGTTAAACTGTATTCAAAATTGGTAGTACGTGGTATTTTTGCCATGTCTACAAGATATTTCTCTGTAATAGGTCGATATTGGAGTATGATGGTTTAATATACTTAGTAATTATTTTCAATAATATTAACACATTCTAAAAAACTAACAGAATAGCATTGATTATTTTTTCACTGCATTTAAATTTCTAGTTCTACCTAATCTAAAGCCTTGCTATGGATACAATTCTACAAAAACAAAAAATCCTACCAATAACTTCTCAATTAAAAATAAATTACCAAACAATGAAATCTAATCATAAACAATACGTCTATAGTTTCAGAGTATTACTTCCGTTTCCGGACTTTTAGAGAGCCTTCTCGCTCGACTCTATAATAAAGCTCAAAGCAGCCACCGGCCCCTGATTGTCATCCTGGACAATTCTTATCTGAAGAAGAGAGTTGATCAACCAGCTCACAAGGAAATAAACCCGTTGATCACTAGTAGTGGAGAAATCGGGCATGCTGAGGCGCCGGAGTTTCACAAATTGGTAAGTTAGCTTTGCATTATTGTATAACTATGAGAATATGAGAGAAAAAGACAATTGTTATTTCACGATATAAAAGAATTATAAAAAAGATTTTAATGTCGAAAAATATTGTTTAAATTTTATGTATTTTTTAATCTCTCGTCTTAGTTCAAATATAATAAATCTGATGCGCACTTTCTCTAACTTTAAAAGTAGCCCTACACATAGCAATCACTCCACAGACTAGAAGACCCAGGATGTCAACCAGACCACCATCAAACAGACCCTTCAAACACCGAAACAAATTTCGAGCGACAGATGCTGCCCAGTCACCAATTGTCAAAAGTCTCCTACGCATCTCTAACGATCTACGATGTGACGCGAAAGACGACTGCGCCGACGAATGCAGCATAAAATTCAGCGGTGCTAAGAAAAAGAAATGTGAATTTACATGCAAAATAACATTTGAATGTAAACAGGAATCGGATTCATGTAAGGGCGATGAATGTAATCCAAATTCTTGTCAGTCCGATAGTTGCGAAACTCAACAGGGTAGCACTAAGGGTTACATTATGTCTGATGAGAAAAAGTGTTATAAAGGACGTTGTTAATAAAGAGTTGGATTTATTAAGATTTTTTTATTGAAGTTATACTTCTTTAGGCGCGTTATGAAAAATTTATGAGAGTGAAATTTTACGATGCGCACCGTGACACAAAATTATCAGTATGGGCGCCGAGCGTGCGCGAGCGAGATGGGAATAAGACAATCTACAAGTAAAAAAATAGAAAGAAATAGAATATGCGTGACGTTAGCGCCGTTCCACAACTGAGCGTTTTTCAAGGCATTTTTGCCGCGCACCACCACTATGTGAATTTTGAATCAGCTGCCCATAATTACTTTGCAAAAAAAAAAAATAGGGGGTTGGGGAAAAAAAAAAAACAAAAAATCTAAAACGGGCGGGCCGCCGCCCCGCGGCCCCCCTGGCCTTGGGATTGGCCGGGGGGGGGGGGGGCCTTTCACCGGGCGGGCGGCCCGCCCCCCCTCGCCCCCCTTTTTAAAAAAAAAAAAAAGTACCTTTTAAACAAATAAAGGAGTTTTAATTATTTTTTCAAGAAATTTATAAATGCTTTTTCACAAAGACCTATTGTTACTTAGTTAAAAGGTTATGAAACATACCTAGTTATTAAATTGAATTAATAATATAATAAAATAATAAAATTATTAATATTAATTATAAATAATATAAATATTAAATATTGTTAAATTATTAACGCTAAATATTTATTATTAATTATTTAATATTTAAAAAAATAAAGAAAGCCAAAGAAGTATAACTTCTTACGCGCGTACATAAGTACAGGCACCATTTTTTATTTTAAGCGAGTACAACTCTTTTTCTTTAACGGATACAAATGCGGCGCACAAAACTCGGCGCTTCGCTTTACAGCAGTTGCGATCAGTGTTGACGATTGATATATATTAATCAGTGCCTTAGACGTATAATAGTTTCTACCTTCTGATAAATAAGCTATGAATTAAGAAAATATTTTAATGACACTAAATTTCTGTAGATTGTACTGTGCCTATATGTATATCGTGTACGAGTATTTTACAATAAAAGTTAATATCTTCCTTGTCGATTACCGTCTCTATAACGGATACCAAATGCGCGCACAAACACGCTTCGGTCTACAGCAGAGGTAATCTGTGTTGACGTGTATAATTGGCGACGCTTCCGAGTATCTGACCTTACACTGGTAAATCGTAAGCTGTCAAGCTTACGAAAGAATCGATTGTTTTATCATGAGCACGGTCACCTCGCAGTTAGAATGCACTTGTGCCTATCACGATTCGGTGTATGCAGGCATTTTACCTTAAAAGGTTAACTATCCTGCTTTGAAGGATTACCGTCTCATGCCGGACCTAAGACTATTAAGTCTATCTGGTTTAAAAATCTTAGGCTCTGCCCTTGTTAAAGTTCTGCAGATATTATACGTATGAACGTTCGGAAAAATATCTATAAATCTGGTACAAAAATTACGTATATTGTGAAATCGCACATTTTATAAAAATTGTTCGATTACTGCGGTGTCATTGAGTTTTCACATGAAGGATAGGTACCAAACAATTAGGATCAGGAGAAATCCCACGACGGTTCTCTTTACGCAGACTCTGCGCCCAAGTAAGAAAAGTTAGTATCAAAAAGTTGGTTTGGAGGTAAACATGAATTAGACGAATTTGAAAATTATGTACATAGATTATAAAATGGCTAACCTGTCAGTTGTCACATTTTAACATATGTCAACGTCTAGTTTATATATATTTATCAATAATTATAAAAAAGACGTATAATAATTGTTTTTTAATATTATGTAGCAACCTCCTTACTTACGCATAGATTATAAAATGGCTCATCTGTCATTTGTCACATTTTAATATGTTATTGAAAGTTAATGTCTACTTTATATATTTTTATCAATGTTTATAAACAAGATGAAATTGAAGAGATTTTATGCCACATTTTTGTGATATTTTCTTTGATATAATTAAAAACATTGTGAATTGATGTCATGTACGACATTGTTAAGAGATGAAGAAAGACGATGTAAGTATTTATTTATATATTTCACATAAGTTAAAAGTAACACATTTGAATCGAATTTACTTTTTAACATTTATGCTATAAAAAGCTTTAAAGATATATTAGAGCTTATATATTACTAACAACAAAACTTAAAATTATTTAACACATTTAAATTCAGTAAAATTACTGATGACTGAAATTTGACTATTGAATATTCCAGGATTCTGAACCAAACAAACCGAAACCTGAAGTAAGTAATTTATTTTGGATTAAAATCTTTCAATTCATATTCAATAAAAAAACATTAAAATAATTTGGGGAATCAAAAATATCTGTTATTGATTGATTGGTTGAATTAAGTTTTACATTTTATTTAATTAACAGGATATCCAAAGGGCAAATAAAATATCACAAGTTGGATCAGTAAGTTCTCAAAAAGTATATTTTTAGATAGAATACAATTTTACTTTATTATGATCATTTAAATTAGAGATGCATCGATTCGCCTTTTTGCCGATACGATACCGATGTTGATACCAACGCTTGTTGAATTAAAATTAAATTAAGGTAAAATATATCAATTTTGGTTAAAGTTTTTAATTTTTATTATAAAATATAAACAGTCACAGACTTTGAATAAGATTAAAGGTTTGGTAAATAAAATTAAGTATTAAGATTAGAGTAATAGTTAAATTAAATTAATATAAAGAACTGTTACCTATAATTACAATTAACATTGATAAGATTTTTGTAATTCTGTATTCTATTTAATTTGGTATCGAAAAAATACTGAGCGCCATAGCATTTAAAATCCAACTAAAGTGAAATACGCAGGGACAAAGTGGGTGAGAGATGCGTGTGTACATTACTTTTTTAAAGCGCGAAATTTGAAAAGTATCGTTGTATCGGCAATTAAAATATCGCCGATATATCGGTATCGGATGCATCCCTAATTTCAATTAAATATTGTTACATTTATTATACGAAATGGTTATCTTTCTATAAATATGTGGTCAATGGGCAGCATTCGCACTCCAGTGAAGAATGTACGAAACGATAACGTTTTTAGTTCGATTGGTCGTACGATGACGGATCGTGTCGTGTGTCTCTGACTAGGTGTGTCGACAATCACAATTAAGGCGGAAACACACTAGTAAAACGCCACGCGACGCAACGTGTCGACACCCGATGTGCATTGTGCGTGCACATTACCAACACGTGACACCACGACACGCTTGCAAATTCAGAAGTCATTTAGCTGACAATAGTGGAGGTGTATAATCGTGCGCTAATTGTGCCATGGATTTAATAAATATTGAGTCAGATGAAGATTTTGAAGAAAATTTGATGCATATTTTGGGTACAAATCTGATATATGACCAAATGTCATTAAATGCTTTCAAACTGTACTTTTAATTCTGCGACTATTCAGCTTCTACTTCTATTTCAGTAGTTTATTTTTCTGATGTCGTAATGTGTATGTATGTAACATTCGTGCGAAAAACTCGAACGACTGACGCGTGGCGACAGGTGTTGTCAAGAAGCACACTGCGCTCGAGGCGTCGAGTCGAGTGGGGTGGCCACCATTGCAACACATCGATCTGGAATGTCATGATCGGGTGGCGTGTGCTCGCTTCGAGTCGCATCGGCTGTTCAAAATGTGATTCCAGTCATAGAAAATAGTACAATTTCATTCGCGTCAACACGCGTCGCGTTCGTCGGGTCGCGTGGTGTTTTAATTATGTGTTGCCGCCTTTAAATTAAACGCGCCATCACATAGATTTTTTTAACAATCCATAATTTTATATTGACATTGTACCAATATTCAAAACTTTCAGAATGCATCTCAAGTCGTCAAGACGTCGCCTGTTGAATCCGTGAGTGAATCATATGTATACATTTTACGTAATTTTGACGTAGATATTTGCTGTAAATATGTCACAGATTCGAAGCGATTAATATTAGCCAAGTACCCGAACAAATTGACTTCGACGCATTGACAATTTACAACCTGTAAGATGTCTCTGACATTGCGTGGTGTTGCCATTCTAATAATACAAATGACCTGTTCTCTTATTACATAATCTGATGACTACGCGAATTCTCAAACCAATCACACAAAAATATTGACGATAATATCATTGATTATGGGACAAAAACACATACAAGCTAAATACACATTATTCTGTTGTCTATTTTCAGGAGGACCTTGACGATATATCATCCCTCTGCACGTTGCACGAGGAATTGTCTGAATATCTCCAGAAAGCTGAAAGTAATGTGTACGGGAATGCATACGACCTGTATCCTGGAGTCGAGACCATATATTACGATTTCACGGCTGAGAGACAGAATCTTTACGCTACAAAGTAATTATAAATTGTCTTTATACATGCGATTAATAAAGATATAGAAATTTAATTGCGCATTGATCATAATTATTTTCTTCGCGACAAGTCCTAGGTTGGATTCCTGGAAGAACAATCATTATTTTAGAATGGCAGGGGAATTGGTGGACCACTTTTTTATGAATAACAGGAGGCTAACGTGCAAGAGGCTCATCTGATTTTAAATGATACTACCTATAGACACTTACATTGCCAGAATTGTGTTTGTGATTGGACTGAAAATGCAAAAATAGTTTACCAATAGCAATCAAACGAATCGGGCCATCGTGTTGTCTTGCGTTATACGTTTAAACATCATCTTATTTATTTCTCTCAGTCTTAACAAAAAAACAGACGCAAAAATTTGTCTGTCTCGTACTCTATTAAAAAAATGAAGGGATTTAATTTTCTGTAAATAATGTATTTATTATTTGAGTAGTGTTGGCCTAGTAGCTTCAGCGTGCGACTCTGTTCCCTGAGGTCGTAGGTTCGATCCCCGGCTGTGCACCAATGGACTTTCTTGATGTGCGCATTTAACATTCGCTCGAACAGTGAAGGAAAACAAAAAACCGACATGTCCAAGACCCAAAAAGTCAACTGCGTGTCAGGCACTGGAAGGTGATCACCTATTTGCCTATTAGATTTAAAAATGATCATGACACAGAATCAGAAATTAAAGGCCCAGAACTAAAGTGGTTGTAGCGCCACTGGTTTATTTTTTTTAATAAATGTGACATTGATATAACCATCCTTATATAGCTCCAAATATACTGCGTTTTCAGTCTGGTGGAATCAACAGCACATTACGTAAAGGGCTGCCTTGGCGCAGGATTGTTGGGAATTCATGAAGGCTATATGTACGGAGGGCTATGGGCTTCCCTCGGCGCCACAGTTATACTTGGATTTCTTGTGCCCTATTGTACATATGTAAGTAATTCTTTAAAACCATCTGCGATGACAATTGTATCTATTCTTTGCATTATTTAATGGATATGTGATACCTGTTCGCTTTTTTCAAGTATATGGTTTTTAAAATAATAACCCACAATTTATTAAAATGGTTAAGGACAGGCTTCTGAACACACCTTACGCAGAGTTGGAGATGATACTGAGAGCTAACATGTAGTAACACATTAGACTCACTCATTACACATGACTGCACACACTTACTCACATGCGCACCCACACACGCGTGTTAAGCGTCGCGTAATGCTTCTTGTGGAAAAAAATTGGGAGAAGTTGTTGTAAACAGTTTTGACAAATTTTCTAAATTGTAATTGAAAAAAAAAAATAACTTTTTATGGAATTAAGAATTACTATAATGTTTGTTTTTGAAGAGCTACTCGTAGGAACCATGACACAGGTATTTTTACAAGCATAAATTTTTTTCCCAAATCTTACACATTTTAATGCATGTTTATAATGATAAAATAATGAATACGATGTGAATATTACTTTTTTTTTATTTAAATGAATTTGTAGAAGCGTCTATCTATTTACCGGATTTTGGAATATCAGATGTGAAAATAATTTATAAATTCTTCTGATCTGTTTCTTCGATATCCGTGTATGGACAGTGTATTGTGGATGACAACGTTCAAAACCGACTGTTATGCGATAAAACACGAAAATTAGATATTATTAAATAGAACCTACATTTCAGATGTTGATCAGATCAGCACAGAGCATGTACGGTCGCCTGCGGGTGCCGAGGCTGTCATACGCAGACCTCGCAGAGGCTGCAGTCGCCACTGGCCCATTGATATTCTTCCGGCGACACAGTAAGGCGTGCAGGTGATCGTAGTTTACTTACTCGTAGTTGCGCAATGCTTAATATGATTATAAGTTTCATTTAAATCACAATTATACATTTTACTAGCGATTTTTTTTGTGTTTTTTGAGTGTCACGTGATCCTTTATTAAGCTATAAAATCCGTAGCTAACTTGATTGTTTGAAGTTGGTATTATTAGTAGGCTTTGCAGATCCTGTGTTCTAGAGAATCGATGATTGAAGACTTCCTATAGACCTATAGTGAAACAGAGCAATGTTAGCTTAGTGGCTTCAGCGTGAGACTCTCACCTGAGGTCTAAGGTTCGACCGGCGGGTGTGTCATAGGACTTTCTATGTGCGTTGAATACATTCGCCGAGCAAGGTGGTGAAGAAAAACATCGTGACGCAACAGAAATAAAAATAAAATACGACGGCGTCGACGGTGTGTGTCAGGCACAAAAGGCTGATCTACTTGCCTATTATAAAAAAAATCCACGAAACAGATACAGAAATCTAAGGCTCATGTAGCCTACTACCACTTGCTCTCATGACTTAACTCTTAAAAAAACTTAACAAACTTGTTTTGCTTCCAAAATTACTTTTAAGAACGTTCCGGATCTAAATTCAAAATTGTATGTAAGAGAGTTGTACATATTGTTTTTTATTACTGAATGTTCGTAAACTGTGTAGCTGTTGTGCATTATTCAACGTGTGTAGTAGAAATTGAACCATCTGCACTTTCTGCTCGTGTTTATAAGGAGACGGAGCTATTATGACGATAAAACGAATGGCTATACATGTCAGTATGGTTTCGGCCATAAAGTCTCACACTTATAGATTAAATAAAGTTCCTCGCTCAGTTGGAAGTGTTTGATTGAAGTTATATTCTTTTAGCGCGTTAGGGAAAAATTATGAGAGTCAATTTATACAATTCGCGCGCACACCGTCACAAAAATCCAACACCCTGAAGTTAGCAGTCAACATTTTAAAATAAAAAAATGTCAATTACATACAGATTTTTTTTAAATTTGAGAATCTAAAATACTGGCCTGAGTGTTAAAAAGTACTGGTGACAAAATTGACATGTTTACCATTGAACGCAAGATTATATTCGAATCTACGTGGATAAATAATAATTTAATATATTATATAGTGAATATAATTTACTCTGAGACTAAAGTTCAACAATTAAAAAAGAAGTAGAAGTAATAAAAGGACCTCTTGTGACAAAATTTGGAACTAAAAATTGGTCGCGTTCTAAAATACATATTCTAACAATTTTGCACGAAATATTAATTAACATTTTTTATCAATGAATATTTTCTTTAAATACTCGACCTAATTGTTAGTATTTGGTATTAATTAAAAATTGATTGCGATTGTTGCAGGTACTTCGTAGAATTGTTACTGTTTATTGAGTTCAATGGGACATGCTGTATATTCGAGATAATGATTGCGAACACTCTCAAACAGGTCGGGACCCAATTTTTCTTTGACATAATTTTTTGCTTTATATTTTTTAATACTAGGCGTTGGTTGATGTTCATAGATAATAAACATAGAATCAGTGGCGTAACTATACCATCTCGGGCCCGTGGCAATTCTTTCGATGGGGCCCTATCAGTAAATATTGACACTACTCAGTTTAATTTTAATAAACTTCGAGATTTTCAGCGTACTCGATTACACGTTGTATATGTCCTACTTATGGCCATAGGCCTCCTCTCTTAGGCGAGAGGGAATAGTCTGTAGTCCCCACGCTAGCCCAATGCGTATTAGAGACTTCACACTAATCCATAGTAGTAGTAGGACCGATATCCTAATACTTTTATCAATGTCATATAGTTTTTATTACTATAGAGATAGAAGGGAATGCCCCTGAGAGGGCAGACCTTTTTGGTACAAAATTTTTCCTAATATGACACAATTGTTTACTATAAAGTAAGATTTGCTATAGATTTAGCTGTCTATAAGTATATATAATTTCGTTTTGCCCGTGCATACAGTCAGACCAAAATTTGAATTTGCTGTATTTTGACTGTTGTTCTGTATCTGATCTATATTTTTTTAAACATTCTCTAGACTTCCAATTACAAGTAATGACACAATATCATATTCCTCCGCTTTTATCACGGAGATTGTTTAGAGGAGTTGTTGGATTAATACCTGCAGCTGAGTTTCATCATCGGACGTTGAGGCAGAATACGAAATTCCACCCGTATCACCTCGACGTCCGCTGTTTCACAACTGAGCGTTTTTTAAGGCAGTTTTTGCCGTGCACCATCTGTCTGTGGAACAAGCTGCAAGTTTTTTCCGAACTAATTCAACTTCTTCTAAAAAAAGGGCGTACCAATACTAAAAAGGCCGGCAACGCACTCGCGATCCCTCAAGCATTGAGAGTGTCCTTAATCAGGTGAGCCTACTGCCTGCTTGCCCCGTTCTATAAAATAATAAAAAAATATATACAGGCTTGTTAAGTACTTAATAAAGATGAAATAATAATTGATTGGTTGACACAGAAGACTCAACTACGGACGTAATTGGTTATACTAGAATGAACAAAATAATCCTATATTTTTAAGGTTTTGGAGATCATATCACAGACGGCGAAAGATTGGAATTTGGATATAAGCATTTACATAATAATAATAACAATACCTCTAATACTGCTCTGCTTGATACGAAGTTTGAAGTACTTGGCACCTTTTTCTCTTATTGCGGACCTGTTTATAGGTAAACTTTCATATTAAAAAAACCAGTGGCGCTAACAATTACCGGGTCTGTTTCATTTTTCTCATGGTGGCTGTACACACTCGGCGAGAGCCTCTCGCCGAGAGTCTCCGACCGAGAGGACCGAGAGAAGAGCGCAGCCTGTACACACTCGTTACGTTATTTGTATTTAAAACACCGTTAATAATGGACGTGGAAACCGCTGCTGCTGTTTGTCTTTGTGCAATAAGTTATTAAAATTTTCTTCACGTTTACCATAAAAAAAAAATGCCATCAGACCTTTACAACAAATAGCAAAAAGATCATCACTGAATGCAAATGAAATTAGAGATGAATTTGCAACATATTTCTTAAATAGTTATATAGCATAATTATTAATATAGTTTACATTATAGTGATTTCCATACAACTTAAATTATTTAGGTATACCTTAATAATAATTTTATTTAAGAAAACTATATTTTTGTATAAGCCTGCCAAAGAGACGATTACAGGCAAATGTGCAAATTTTTTATTATTATTAAGGTAAATTCATTGAATGTATACCTAATTATGGTTTGAATAGAAAACTTACCAGCTAGGCCTTTGTTTCTAATAACCTTATTTAATACTGTATATTGTTCGAAGTCCTAACCTACATACTTATAAAGAATAAAAATAATTGCTTACTGTGTTTCTTAGTGTTTCTGTATTTATAGTTTTTCTACATTGAGTTATATCACTTAAAAAGGAATCCATAAAATCATACGCAAACCATATTGGTTTATAGACAGAGTCAGCTGCAACGCCTGATTGTATAGATGCATTAATCTTTCTTTTATGTCCACGGTACGTAGCCATGAGTGAATCTCGCTTTTTCTTTAGTTCCTCAATTGGGAGCGTTCGTTAGACCACATTGTGCGATACGTCCTGTCACAACCACAGTCATCGAGCAAGTGATTGAACGAGTGTGTACAGGTCGCTCTCGTTTTACTCGCGAGACCCTTTGACTCGTGCGCAAAAAACCGACAGGCGACCGAGAGAGGCGAGACCGACTGCGAGGAAGCGAGGCGAGACGAGAGCTCTACTGTACACTCTCGCCCTCGGCCTGTCTCGGGGTGTCTCGCCGAGTGTGTACAGCTACCATCATAAGCAAATAGGTGATCAGCCTATGCCGACATATGCCGTCGACTTGCTGGGTATGACATACCTTACGATGTTTTCCTTCTCCGTACGAGCAAGAATTAAATGCGCACATAGACAGAAAGGTGGGATCGAACCTACGACCTCAGAGATGAGTGTCGCGTTCTGAAGCCACTTCTTCAACTTGCTCCACTCATCATCCGTATCAGCCTCAGAGTTATTAACGCATTAAACGGCGCCGTTTAGTTAAAAGGCTAGGCTTTTAATTGAACGGCTAATTAGGTAAGCTACATATAGATGAGCTTTTTGTGCCTGACACAATGTCGATTTCTTCGTAGAGGTTTGCTATCCTTATATTTATAAAATCTATGTGTTCACAGCCAAAGTACGAACCCAAGACGTTCAAGGCGAGTCGATCACTTAGCCTTTATTCTTGTATAAGGTTTTACTTACAGGTACATGCGTTATCACGAGTTTGTACTACAGCCTATCTGTGGCTGCGTCGCTAAGCAACGTTCCTGCGTGGAAGAGTGTACATGGCTTCCTACGTTTCTGCGGTGTCTGCATTTACAGCATTGACGGCATCGGTGTATCATTACCAATTGAGAATAATATGAGACGACCGCAGTACTTCAACGTTGTGTTACAATGTGGTAAGCACTACTAGAAGCTTGAAGTGGAGTGAAGTGGATCTGTTGTGTTATTGATATTCTATTAATGATGTTTTTTTTTTATATCTACTAACGGTTGGGTTTCGTATGGCAGTCTTTAGTCGCAGTCTTTTACAAGGTTGGAATTTTTTTATTAACTATATATATGTATACTCAACTGTAATCTCACGTTTCACAGGGACGGCGATTGTAGTACCTCTAGTAGCTATGGTAGGATTCTTCGGCTACTGGGCGTGGGGAGAACAGTGTCGGACTCCCATCACCATACATATGCCTCCAGAAAAGTGAGATTTTGTTCTAATTTTGAAAGCGCGTTTTTGGAATAACTTTACATAGCTCTCGTAATACTTGTATGTCAAAAATAGTACCTAAGCATTAAAAACCCAGGGTTGCAAGACATGATAGTGTCTATACCCAGGGATTGGTACTTCGAGGGTGATTTCTAATTATTTAAAATGTTTTTTATTTATAAAACAAGTGGTAAACGAACAAGAGGCTCATCTGATGTTAAGTAACACCGCCGCCTATAGACACTCTCTGCCGGTAGGCTCGCATGTGCGTTTCCAGCTTTTTAAGAACGGGCTCTGTTCTTGAACCCTAAGTCAAATTGGTTCGGAAATAAATTTATATTCTTACCCATGCAAGATACTTATATTTTTTGTGCATTTTTAAATACAAATAATATATATCAAATAAGGATGTAATTATAATTTAAAATAACCATTCCTAGTAATAATGATCACGTGGGCATGGCAATGAAAATTCAATCGCTTTTTCGCGAATAATAATATTTAATAACCTTTTACAGCTTCTAGTTATTCTAGTTATTGAATAAAGTAATGAACAACATATTTCAAAATTAATAGCCATTAATAATCACTGGACCAATGGATTATTTTATAATATTAGTTATTATTAAATCATTATTTAATTTAGCATAGTATATAGCTCAAACAGTGGTTCGAAATAAAACCATTACTTTATCCAATCTACTGAAGTACAATTTGATGCTGTGATTACTTTCCAAAACTTATTATTAATACAATTCCGTTTTCCTAACGAAAGGAAATTAGACAATTTCAACCAACTTTTCTGTAAACCAAACTTTTTGGCGTGGGCCCATTAATTTTGCAGGGATATTATTGCATCATCAATATTTATTAAATAATTTTTAATTAATAAGCTCCTATAATTAATATGCCATTAAAATATAAACATCGGATTGATGCCCTCCTCGTTTATCCTTATTCCCTGTCTCTAGTTAAACTATTTCAGGTCACAATGTAAAATTTAAGACGAAACAACGGCGCGTTAAATAATAATAATTTATTTTTATTTATTAACACTTCGTTGCATATACATAAATATAGTACAATTGACATAATTAAATAAAAAGGGGAGCTACTGGCGGCCTTATCGCTTTCGAGCGATCTCTTCCAGGCAACCACTGTGAGAAAAGAAAAAGAAACTATTAAATTACATAAGGTAGGCAAGAAGTGCAAAAATACATTTATTACATATAGTTGTTGAGAAAAAGAAACTAAACAGGAACAAAAATCAAACTAATAAAGGACACTTGAAAAAAATTAATACCTAATAATAAAAAGTGCACATGAATCATTATAATTTAATTTAAGACTATGGCACAAAAATGTTATGATGGTACAATCTAAACTTCGTATATTCTGCCACATATACTAGCGTGCAAATTGGTTTTAAAAGGTAGAGTTTTACATAGAAGTCATACATTATAGTCAAAGGCGCGTTCTTGTTGGTTGTGATGTCAACAGCGTTTCTTGTCAAATACACGTTGACACTCTATATGATGCATCATAATATTAGATTATTTGTCCAATCACAGCTCAACGCACGGTTTCGTCTTTCGTCTATTACATATATACAAATAAATAATAGTTAAAAAAAACTAAAAAACACGCTTTTAAAGCACATCAAACTAAAAAGCGAAAAATAATTCCTAATTTAGGCTGAAAATGGTAATGAACAAAAAATACTGGTATTATTGTGAAAAAGCGTGGGTTGCTCTATAGACGAAAAATATGGCACAGAAAACTGAGTTTTTGCATAGTTGGTATTGATATGAAATGAAACAAATTTCACGTTTATCACCTACCACCAGCCTACCAGACTCCTACCAGAGCCTGAGATGCCAAAGCATAATTACGAGTCTGGTAGGCAGAAACATGGATGTGCAATTTTTCTTGATATAAATATCATTTTACATTGTCCCTGGTAACAAAAAAGGTACCTTGTAGTAAATAATGAGTGACTGTAGTTCCATACGCTGCAATTGCATTGTGTAAACTACAGTAGTTCAACTAATTACCGTACAATTTGGGTCCCCATTGGAGCGTAGCATCTGGCCCATTATAAACTGTTTTGCAGTATACCAATTATCATGCAGTTTCTGCTCACCGCATCACTCGGGGTCACATTCGCTGTACATTTCTGGGTACCCTTCAGAGTCATATGGCACTACATTAGTAGGAAATGTAGAAGGTTTGTATTGATTTAATTACGGTGATTTTCAAACGTTTATAGAACAGTGTAACTGAGAGTACTGGTATAGGTCCAGTTACCAGTATTTTTGGACACCACCTAATGTTAAGTGAGATGTGGCCTTTGGAGGGGACGCCTGTCCAGGAGAATCACGTTTAACCGTCGCTTTAATGAACCCATAGCATACGGTATCATTTACCGTCGGACTTATTCAATGTTGCGTAATCTCAAAAAGTAATGATTCTAATACTCTTGTGTCAGTTTGAGAATAAATGAACTGTGAAAAATTGTTTTGTATTGTTCTTTACTCCACTTCTTCATTCATATTTGAGGCTAGTACTTTTATGAATAGGACCATCTTATACGCATCTTCAAGGAGGAATCCTGGGACGCTGTAAAACTGAAAACAAAAGACGAACGGATTCGTTAATAAACGAACAACATAACATTAACATTTTTCGTTAACATTGGTCAAGCAGAAATATCCAATCATTGATTGTGTTAGGTTTTTTTACTGTTTCACATTCTCATAATTTTTGAAAATCGAAACCTGGCCAAGTCACACGTTTTAAAGTGAATTAAGGTGGAAACATACTACTAAAACGCCACGCGACGCAACGTGTCGACACCCGATGTCCATCGTGCACATTACCAACACGCGACACCACGACAACTTGCAAATTCAGAAGTCATTTACTGACAATTGACATTTTGCCAAAACTCGAACGTTTGACCTTGGCGTCACAGCACGACAACACGCCGGTCCAAATCGATTGGATGTTACCGCGTGTGATCACATGGCGTGTTGTCTATGTGCATCTGACCATATTAAATATATTGGATTGATAAGTACTGACATGCGTCGGATGGCGTGGTGTAGCGTCGCGTTTTGGTAGTATGTTTCCGCCTTTAATTATTACAGATTACTTAAACTTTTCTCGACTGAATTTTTTCTTTAGCTTTCATGTTTTGGTTAACTTGCAGGCGAAAGAATATTTTGGAACGTATATTCCGAGCTGCCCATGTCATGCTACTATCATGTCTTGCAATCGCCTTCCCGAATCTTATCACGTGGATGAGTTTCGTAAGTTAAATAATAAATATTATTATTATTTTATATTACAGGAGGCTCACCTGATGGCCTATGGGCACTCACACTGCCAGAAGGCTCGCAAGCGCTTTTAAGAATTGGTAAACTGTTTTCTTGAAGGACCCTAAGTCGAATTGGTTCGGAAACACTTCAGTGGGCAGCTGGTTCCGCATTTGATAAAAAATTATGTAATATAATGTCAATTCAATTTAATAATTTCTAATTATCATTTTGGTTTCAGCTGGGAAATTTCTTCATGGGGTTGGTAGTGTTCATTTTGCCAGCGTTCATAGACAGTATGGTGTCGTGGAATCAACCGCTTGTGCACACGCGGTAATTAAACTGTATATTTAATAAACACAACAAAATAACTACCAAATGATATGTTTAAACAATAGCAGGATTTCTCTACAATTTTGTAATTATAAAATATATAGTTAGTATAGTAGTCTCCCTAATTTTATAGAAGAATATATGTAAGTATGGAGTCTATTAGATATCCAATGAGGCACGGTACAAATACATTTATACATTTATACACTTTGTGTGATGATTGTACCTTCAAATATTTATATTTTCGCAAGAATCAAAGGGCTTTAGATTATTTAATTTATATCTTTGTTTCAGACTCAGATTGCTTAAAAACTTATTAATTATATCCATTGGAGTAACTTTATGTGGTGGTGCAATATATTCTTATGATTAAGATTTTAATGTAAATAAATGTTTACTTAACATAATTTGTTTTACTGACATCTATCGCCTTAAAGCTAAACTAATTCAGAAATATCGCATTGACGCGCTAAATCAGACTTTACTGGAGTATTGCGACATCTATTTAGTAAATATGAAACTAATATCACATTATTTTAATTGAAACTCCGTACTTTTTACCTAGATGGCGTTAAATTTATATTAAAGAATCTAAAGAGCGAACCTAAATATTGTAGAAAAATTTAACTTTAATTATAAACGGAAACATCTGTTAGTTATTAAAATGCTTTCGAACACTTAATCAAACGAATTTCTCGAAAGACAATTTTTAAAACTTAATAACTTAAAAAGTCAGAGTCTTAGGGAGCGTTCAAGTATTACGTCACGCAATTTTTTGAGATTATTGACAAATGTAACGCCGGTGCACAGCCGGCGGTATCGAACCTACGACCTCAGGAATGAGAGTCGCACGCTGAAGCCACTAGGCCAACACTGCTCTCAATAATTATCGCTATTAAAAAAGTCTGCCACAAGAGCAAATCATAGATTTTTTGCTCATCAGCTCCCTAGCTATAACAAATAAAAGAAAAGATTATATCCCCAAGAAAGGAGGGTAGGGTAATTCCTCATTAAGAATATTACATCGTTCCCTTATATGAGAAAATATACTAACTACTAATACAATAATAATTACGTAGCCCTATACCATGGTATTGCATTTCGCAATTTATTAGATTTACACGTGCCTGCGATGCACGGTCAGCGTTTGTTACCCCGTGGAACCTTATAATTTTTGTTATTTTCTGCGCATTCAAATTCCTAACATCGGTTTGTTTAACCGTAACATTTAATGTATTTTTTTATGTTTAATAAATTATTTCAAAACCTTTTTTTAAAACTTCGGCTGTGGCCTTCGTAATTAGCTCATAAACTAATTTTGTGATAGCAATAAACTGTTGTTGTACAAGCTGGAAATCGTAAGAAGCAACAATGTCTGAATTGTTCGAGCAAACAGAGATGATTACGGTGAAACTACCTATGGGTAGTGAAATAACGAGTGATGGTAGTAATCATCATAATAGTCACCCAAATCCTACCTAAAAAAGTAACGAGAGATCAACCATATCTGAAACAACAACTATGACAGCCATTCAGGATGACTGTAACATCCAAATCGTAGATATATATAAAAAAATAGATACATTAAAAATAATATTACGTCTATGAAAACCACTGAATCTAATATTTCAAAACATAAACGATCTACGCGGCAGTTAAGTTTAACTCTCAAATTTTAATGACATTCATTTAAAAGCAGCTGACGGATTTTGGTGCGATATCTCTATTCTCTTTAGAAAATACTAAAATGATAGGAAGTAATGGTTGAACTTGATGTGTTGCATATTATCAGAGCTCTTCACTTATACCTTCTATAGGGAATTAGCTGTATATGAGATGTTTAAAAAAACAACTTTATAGCTATTTTGCAATTGCTCTACATACCTATTATACCGTTTCGTTCATCTATTGAAACAAAACTAAAATATTTTTGAAGGCATTAGGAATTACTCCGAGACCAGGATCGATACTTCTGCTTTTTCTAAAGTCAATATTTATATTCCTTTAGTCAATAAACAAGTACATAGTTGAACTAAAGAACGATGAAAATTATGTAAGAAAGTTACATTTCAAATATTATAAAAAAGCTAATTCTATTACGAATAATACGATAACATTTATTTATTTATCCACATAATTGTATCTTTACAGTTATTACTAAAACGATAGAACTACACAATAATAACTAGAACGATAACCCTATAATTAAAAATGATATACCTAGATAATAAATTACTTATAACTAATAATATAACAAGCAGCTCTTGTGAACTCAGCCAGTGTACAAACAAATAGGTCTACGGGGTCTACCTCGATAGAAATCTTATTTATTACATGTATCGCTCGTGTAAGTGGCGCCTCGCCAACCAAGTTGCAGTATGGGCGCTGTACATCCAAAATTTGTGACTTCTGCCTCAGTTTCTTGTTATTGTATACTGATATAGCAAACTCTCTTCTGAGACGTAGCTGGTCTGAACCCATACCCTGATCAAATAGGGTTAGATACAAAGGATTAATTCCATACACTCTTGTAGCAGTAACAAGTGAATTTATTTTGTACTCGCTCTAACATGGGACTGTAATTAGCTTCATATGGGGCTCACACTATTGCTTTGCACCCCAAATGACTTCTGACAAAGCCTAGCCTTTTTGATTATCTTATCTATTATATATATAGAATCCGCATAAATTTCAGTTCCTTTCGTCTGTAGTTTTAGCCAACGTTACACCACTTAGTATAATTGTATTGAGTGGGCAATCGTGCTCCCGAGAAAGGTATATCTTAGCATATTGATATAATAAACTCCAATCTATTCCTTATGTTCTAATTAATCACTCTATCATACAGTTAAATGTACTATCTATGGGCAATGGGCATGTATAGTTTGAGATCACCAGAGAAGAGCAAGCACTTTGCATCTTGACGACATTCGGTAGGTCATTCAGCATAATCAGAAATAATCGATATAGACACATCAATTCGGTGAACCCCACATACCAACACTTAAAAAAAAATGTTTATTATGGAACATAAGATACAGGTATCACTTATTCCACGTCATTAAATTTGAATTTGTAGGCATCCCTACTCATCGGCAAAGAAGACAGAGGGTGTAGGCCGAGAGAAAAAGCCGGCGTAAAAAACTCTCGGTACTCTTTTAAAATAGCAAATCATCAAACAACACTTATTTTATGGACACTCATATTGCTACAGTTGCCACCTTGCGAGCCGCAAGTGCGTTGGAGGCCAAAATATACCTAATAGATACTAAACTTCGCATAACGCATAGTCCGGAATTTTTTCAAACGCAATAAAATATGGAAGTTTGTTGTTATTGTATAATACTAATATGTTATCGAACAAACATATTAAACAATTGAAATTTGCGTATCTCGGCCACGTTTTGCGCTATGACCGCTACCACCTCCTTCAATTAATTGCGTGTTGCGTGTTGTTAACGGTGTGTTGGTAGAAGGAAGAAATCATGACTTCGCAACGTTAGGAAGTGGACAGGTAAGAACTGGACTGCGTAAGAGTTGATGCATCTGGCACAGGACAAGACACTCTCTCCAAGAGACAGATGGCCAACCTCACTAAATGAAGCCACTAAAAGAAGAATATATTATAAGAGTTGGTTTAAAAACTTATTTATTTTATAGTATAAACATAATAATAGTGTACGTAACACAATTTTTTCAAATGTATCAGTGACATTGAAGGTCAGTAAGAACTGTTGGAACAGTTGAATTCTTAGACTTGCCAAATTAAAGCCATGGTCAAAATAATTATTTATTATAATTGACCCAATAATAATATAATTATTTTTCATTGAATGACAGGGCATTTTCAATATGCGATTTTATAAAATTTCCATTGTAAAATTAATTGATAAGTTTATGCATATTATATTTTTAAAGCATGATAATATAAGTTTTCGGAAGCTACATCTAGCATTCGCCCGTCCCTCGGTGAAATACTATGCCCTGGTTGGGCTGGATATAAAAAAAGAAATCTAATAATCGATCAGACTAAGACTAGCACTAAACAATTAGTATTGATTAATTCGTATCTTAATCACGTATGTGGCTGAGATTTTTTTTAATGTTGTAGGAGGCAAACGGGCTGGAGATTGACCTGATGTTAACTGATACCGCATGGATACTCGGACTGCCAGAAGGTTCGCAAGCGCGCTGTCGGCCTTACAGGTTATTTCACCAGTGGGAGTTGGGGTTGTCACGTCCGGACGCCGGAATACGCCGCCGGATGTAATGTTATCATTTTGTACCTAAGTTAGTGTAAAGCATGCAAGTACAGGGGTCTAGGCTCGGAATATGATTTTGTCCCATTCGGTGTGGAGACCCTTGGTCCGTGGGGTCCTAGCGCTTTAAGGCTTTTTAAAAATTTCAAAAAGGTTAGTCGACATCACAGGAGACCGAAGATCTGGCAGCTACCTCGGACAAAGAATTAGTCTAGCAATTCAAAGGGGGAACGCTGCCAGTTTCTTCGGAACCTTGCCTAAAGGGACTCCTTTTAATGATATATTTTAGTTTATGTTAAGTTTAGTTATTTATTTCAATGTATATTATTTTATTATTATATAAGTGATATTTTAAAGAAGCATTTGAACCTGTATCTAATATCTGTATTCAACAAGTATTTAATTAAAGATAGATTCGGCTTTAAAAAAAAAAGTTAGTGTTAGTTACTTAGTGTTAGTTAGTTAGTGTAGTAATGTTTAACACTGACATAATTCACAAGATTTGCAAAGTCTATTTTTACATATTTAATATTTAAAATGGTTTTATTATCTACACATATACATATATATTTATTATTTTTAGATCAAAAACAGTATCTGATAAAATTAAACTCCAAGTTAGTATCTGGAATAGATTATGTACTGGCATGGTACTTCATCGTATAATTTGACTAATCTGCGACCGTTTCGGGTCACTGACGAATAAAAAACAATATTTTTAATAATGTATTTTTTGCTATCATAGTCATAGTATTTTTTTGTATTACTTTAGATTAAGGTTCTTTTTTTTTTATATAACATTTGGTTCTGCACTTCTCGCACGCATCATGATTCTTTTTTTTAGTTTTTCTCTTTAACTAGGGTTGCCTGGAAGAGATCGCTTATTAGCGATAAGGCCGCCCGCTGCATCCCTTACAATTTTTATGTATTGTGTTTCTTTTATTTGCAACGAAGTGTAAATAAATAAAAATAAATAGAGTGAGTGAGTGAGTGTTTGTCTCTGTAAAAAATAGATTTATTGATAGATATATTTAAACACACTTATCAGACTTCAAAGTATTTTGATTTATACGCGAAGATTACAGAGAGTTTCAAGTTATTGCAGGCACTCAAATTGATCCAGGCCTTAATGTTATCAGGACACGTAGTTAAATTGTAATTAACAATGTTAGAGCTTCATTATTATTATTTTATTTATAATTACTTTTTTGGCTACTTTAAACTCCTATGTCGTAAGTTCGATTCACAGCAATGTAATAATGCAGCTATGGACTTTAAGTCTATGTGCGCGTTTAACACTCTCTATGGCGAAGGAAAACATCGTGAGGAAACCGGCCTGCCTTGGACCTAGTCGAGGGCGTGTGACAGGCAAAGAAGGCTTACTATCAAAAAAGAAAAGATTACGATACAGAAATCTGAGCACGGGACTTAAAAGATTGCACGCCGGTTGTGTTGGGTGCCACAGATATTTGTGAATTACTATTAATGATAAATGATAAATGATTTATTTCTGTAAGTAGGTTTTTACAAACACTTTTACACGTCAAACATATTTTGTTTTTAAACTAGATGAGATCGACGTTTCCTATCTGACTACTCTGAGAAGGAACGCCGAAACAAACTCAGAGGTCACAGTCTCTTTTAAATTCCAGACATAACAAGATTATGTGAAGACCATGTAGATTGCAGTCTGAAATGGTCTTTTGAGGAAAGAACCACAAAGTCCACTCAGGACCTGTCAAGTCCAAAGACAAGACATTTGGGTAGGCCGCATAAATTACTCAAACTGTCAGACTATGACTAAAACTGAGAAAAGGATAAAATAAATAAAAAACAATGATCCACGTAGTCTTCACATTCACAATAATAAAAAATAGTATAAGTAAAACTTTACAAAGTAAATATTCATGTCATTGTACATAAAATATGTAAAAAGGTATTTAAATCAATAATAAGTTATATCCGGACACATGACGAGAGGATAGCAGGTTGAAATGGACAAACATAATAACAGAATGACAACCACGCGATGGAAAAAGGAAAAGAGGAAGACAGAGCAAGAGATGGGGAGCCGATATGAAGAGAATAGGAGGCACAACTTGGACAAGAAGAGCTAACATCAGAAAAAAATGGAAGCAGCTGGAAGAGGCCTATGTGTCACAGCTGAAAAAACGGTAACTTAAATAAGTGTTAATATATTATACTGGGTGTCAGCAATAAAGGCTTAGTAATAATTAAAAATTTGTATAGTAAATCGACGCGTTTGAGCTGTCTAAAGCTAGCAATATCGTTTGATGTATATATAATTGACGAGCAAAGCACTATATCCTAGCATTTTACAATGCATACAACCCAGCATTACTACTGAACATTACTGAAGAGACTTAAATGCCGTTTGACGGGTAAACGCCATAAACTTTAGCGTAAAGACAATTTAATATTAATATACTTCTTTAGTAATACGTTTCTAATAGTTTCCCTAGTTTCTAATATACCGGATATCCACCCCTTTGAACCACCGCTATACTAAGGTTTTGCTTTTCTTACAATATTATACAATCATAATCCCAAACTCAAACGGCCTCTTTATTCTGACCTGGGGTCCCCACGTAAATCTTGAATGCGAAGTAACAAGGGGAAAGTAGGTAACGCAGAGAAATTCGATACAGCTATATAATTCAATAATTATCATAAAGGCAACTGGTTACCGCAAAATTAAAATGGGAGCGGTGTCGCGTCTTTTAGCATTAGTCAAAAATTATTCGTTCGCTATTTTGTCTGAGAGACATTGTCTCGAGATAGGCATGTCTTCTATCTCTGCGCTTTGAAGGTTGTTCGACTCTGTGTTTTATTGAAACGTAAATCAGCATACAAAGAGTGCACTCGTGTTTGAAAATGGAATTGAGTACAAAAAAGGTGAGTTTTTATTTTAATTTAATCAAATAAAATAACACCAATTATTTGACTTTTATTAAAGAAACCGCTAACATATTAGAGTGTGTATAATATTCTTATCAAATGCTCTATTTTGTTAATACGTAATATATTTTGCTAATTTTAGGATTATGTTTTATAAAAACATACCGCAATATAGCTATTATATAGCTTTCCTAAAAATTAATATTACTGTAAAATATATTAAATCTCGAATATATCAATAATGATATGCCAGTGTACTTAGTTAACTTAAAAACACAACAATGCACAAATTATTAATCTAACCAGTCATTAATACATTATTACAATGAAGCTAATATTCCATAAGACCTAAACAGGTTTCACCAATATAAAAACAGTTAATAAAAACCTAATTTGCACTACACGATAGGGAAATCACACTATAAAAACCTATGTTTTCCTCCTCTACTTGACATTTACATATTCATGCCAAATTTGTTACGCAAAGTTTAAAACACAATGAAAACACCAACATTGTCTAAGAACCGTGTAAAATTATCTATAGGTGACATGGAATTATTACGCGTGAGTCTAACTTCAAAATACAACCCATAAATCGGCTTGTAGTAATTATAACTGGTGTTTAAAAAAAACCAGCAGCTTGTTTGCGGTGAAAGTGCACCTCACAGGCCACGGATCTTGAAGTTGACACGACTGAAGGGCTGGATCTAACTCAGGTCCCTCTGCTTATCAGAGACGTAGGGCCCTATTTAAAACATCACACAACGTTTTCAATCGAAAATATTGTTTTATGTTGGGTACTTCATTTATCGAGGAAGAATGTAGATCTCTTAAAATTATGCTACGGCCGAATTTCGCAAGTAAATTCGCAAGGGCAGCTACTATTACGTGACACCAGTTTGGCAAAATCTACAAGTTAAATATACGGGAAAGTACTTTATTATACATCTAACATACTTTTCTTAAAGAAACATAAAACAGTCACAACTCAGCCGTATTAAACGAAATTAAATGTGTTGCGTTGTTGTCTAATTAAATATTATTGATGGAACCAATTCGTACAAGTGACAAAAAAACAATATGATGATTATTGAAGAAACATTGTTCTCAAGGTAACGTTTGCCCGTGTTATCGATAGTGTATTTAGTTCTATATATACTCGTAAAGTTCTTTCTTGAGGTTTTTGTTAAAAGTTGGAACATTTCTTTGAACTTTGAAACTGCAAATGTTTAATTGATATTTTTTCGTAATTAGGCTTCGTTAAATTACCTCTAACTAGCTTCTTTTTCGGATTAGTAAGGCTGGAAATTTATTTTTAAATTTTGGAAATAATGCCTGTACTGTAAGAAAAATGTAGCATTTTTAGTTTATTTATTTTTACACACAAAAATACATCTAATATATAAAATTCTCGTGTCACAATGTTCGTTCCCATACTCCTCCGAAACGGATGGACCCATTCTTATGAAATTTTTTACGCATATTCAGTAAGTCTGAGAATCGGCTACTATTTATCTTTCAAATCCCTAAATGATAAGGGGTGTCCACCCCAAAAAAATTTATGTTATTTTTTAGAATGTTTAAATTTTTTATGATACAGCGTACAAAAATACATACAACCCCTAATTTTCATCCCTCTATGATCAACCCCTTTTTTTACTATAGTAGATAGTTATTTTTATTGAACTAAAAAAATGTTTCCTAGAAATAATATACATGGTAAAACAATCGTTTGCCGGGTCAGCTAGTAACTGTATAATATTAGTGTAGTAAAGTTATTCATTATAATTATAGATGTTTAGAATTTTTTTTTAGGGGAAATGCAAAACTTTATTATTGGTTGTATGGTAGGCTTATTCAATTCTTTATTAAATAGGTCAAAAGTCTAAGAACTCCTCTGAAAGAAAATTTATATTAAAATAAAGAGTCGTTTGTTTGTTATCTTATTTAATAACCGAGATTCTGTGTCATAGAGATTGTAGAAGCGATAACTCACAGTGCCTATATTAAAGTAATCCTTTATATTTACATGTTTCTTCTTTTGTATATATTTGTATAACAGCAAAACGGCGTTAATATTTCGTTTAAGATTGTTAAACAATTTTTAAAAAAAGTAACTTAGTTCACTTTGTTTCAATGTGCCAAGGGCAACTTGGCCAATTCTTAGCAAAGACTTCGGTGACATTTGTCCAGTTTTGTAGATATCAGAGCCTTTAAACTGCCTTGCGATTCTGTAACTCACTTTTCGAACTCTCACAGCGGTTTGTCACAAGTAAAATGACTGCTTTACGATGATTTGTCCGCCGCTGCGAAAACCGCTGTGAGAGTTCGAAAAGTAAGTTACAGAATCGCAAGGCTGGAAACTGGACCAATAGAAATTTCTTTACTTTACTATGCTAAAGCAGATACATATCAGAAGGAGAGTAGACTAAAATTGGGACGGCTAATGGCGACGTGTATCTCGTTCGTATATACATATTAAGTTTCTCATGGAAATAAAATAAATTATTTCGTAATGAGAAATAAAGTTCTTTAAACATTAAAGTCGTGAAAGAATCTTCCCGCGTGATCGGTGGGCGTTAAAATCGCCAAGTATTACGATTTCACTCTTTCGAGCAGGGAATCTGTAGACGTTTGGAGGTTCTCAATGAGTCGGTCAGTAATAGTCATTTCTGCTATGGGATACCGGCACGCATAGAATCGCGGATGGTCATCGCAGTCTACGCGCAGCCAGAGGTTACAGATATCCCCTCTGACATACACGCCAACTCCCGCTCGCGGCACAAATGAATGTTCCAATTTGTACCCTGGGTAGGAGAGGTAGGAAGTATCAGCCGGGGAGCATATCTGAGTCTCGATAAGAAATAGCAAGGCCGGCTTGATAGTGGATAGCGTGGATGTTGAAGTTGAGACCCCTAACATTTGTGAAGTCCACGGCGAGTGTCGAAGAGGCACCCTCTTTTTTCTTTTTCTTCTTTGTTAGTTTGCTCCATTTGCCCCGAGATCGGTTAATTGTTGACATAGGCTGCTCATAGAGCGCAGAATTGCCCCTCCCAGAATACGCAGGACAGCATGTGCAACCACCACCGGGTGCTAAGCGTCCCTGTAGAGGAACCCTAGAGGTGATTCTCCGCAGTACCGGTAACTAACTTAGGGTAGTTCTATATGCATAAGTAAGACTTACTCGTATGATGAAGACAACTATCAGTAAACATTCAGAAGTAATACCAAGTCTGTAGAGCGTTGTGCGTAGTGTACCTAAGTCAATACTATTCTAGTTTCTAAAAGTACTAAATTGCAGACAGACAAACAGAGTCGACTGGATAATGTGACAAAACCACCACCGCAGCCACCGCCAGATGGCAGTAAATACACTGTGCCATCAGAGAAGGAACCGTATGACTTCGTTGCGAATCGAGTTCCACGGAAAAGAAATAAGTAAGTAGCTATTTTTAATATTTTGTAATCTTGAAAAGCATTCCGAGGGCCCGTAAGTTCCTTCTATTGTAGGTTTCTCCTAAATACAATAGCAATAAGAGCTTTGGTTGTAGTAGGAGGACACTTAAGTCCAGACCTGAATGCTATTATTATTAATTTATTTATAAAACAGCGGGCAAACGGTTCACCTGTTGTTAAGTGTTACCGCCACCCATGGACACTCTCAGTGGCAGAGAGTTCTCGAGTTCTCTGCCGGCCTTAAAAGGCGGTACGGAATTGATACGCTCTTGAAGGACCCAAGTCTAATATACAAATAAAGACAGAACAAAAGAAGATCACTCTCATCATGGTATAAAACCCTTGGGGCTGTAAAATGTGTGTAAAAACATTAAAAACTTTTATCCCCTTATTCATATAACAGAGTAAACTCTTTATACCGAATTTCAAGGGACCGAGCATTTTTATTCGTTATAGGAAGGGAAGTATTAATGTATGGGTTTTGTGTTAAACCAAACAAATTTAACTATTTTTTTACGTTATAGCGAGTTTTTTGATTATAACTAATGACGTTATAAAGAGTTAATACTGTATTTATTTACACAGATAATAATTGCTATTATTAAAAACATTTAAGTACCGTATACAGTATATGCAGTATACAGTATACTTATCTCTTTACAGTTTTCTAGAAGCAACTGGTCACCTTATAAAGGGATGTCTTGGAGGGGGTATTCTTGGTATCCACGAAGCCTTTATGAAATCTGGACTTTGGACGTCTCTATTTGTATCCGTTATCTTTGGAATTTATATCTCCTATTGTTTACACGTAAGTACACCCTCGTTATTTGTTAAAGTACTTTCAACTAAATATCCTCAGGCAGAGACAGTAATCGCAATTAGGTTCGCCGAGGGCGTACACGGTTCGGACGCTGGTAGCCGGCACCACACCCTGGCACCTCGAAGCGGGTGCCCTGGCGAAGTTTATTGGAGGAGGGCTGAAGCCAGGCACAATAGTAATGACCCTGCGCTCGGATCAATCACGGCGTGCAAAACTGCCTAAGAAAACGAAGCAATAAGACAGTGGGCGGAGGATCTGGCTAGTGCGAGCGCTGGGTTCTACACCATCAACGCATTCGGACCACACCTCGACAAATGGTGAGGAGGCGTGGGCGCCTCAGCTACCGACTCGTGCAGATACTGTCCGGACATAGCTGTTTCGGCAGCTATTTACACAAGGTAGTCGGGCGTGAGGAGGCACCGACCTGCCACCATTGCGACGCTGGTGTTGTAGATGACGGCTTCACACCTTAAAGGATTGCCTAGCATGGGAGGTGGAAAGGAGGCCTCTACTGGGTGTGCTAAGGGCGAGGACGTACTCTCGATAACATTGTGAGAGTAGCAGTTACAAGCTCGGAGAGTGACGGCTTGTGGGAAATCTTCCAGAGATTCTGTGAAGCCGTAATGCACCATAAGGAAGAGCGAGAAGGCCAGGGAGATGATCCTGCAGCCCACCCGCGTCGTCGTAGGAGACCACAGCGTGCATTGACGTGCAACCCTTTGTGTAATCCTGGGCACGCAGTTGCTCCAGCGGGGGAACAGGGGCTCATGCGTCCAAAAGAAGGGATGCCGACGTATCCCTGCAAGCATTGCCCCTACCCGGCCTCCCCAGCTCTATAAAACAGGATGAATTGGCCGATGTGAAAGGCCCTTGCTGTGCCAAGGACCATTCCACATCATTGTGGCCGTAGAGGACCGTAATATTAACGGCTGATGGTGGCTGGATGCGGACAAGGCTACGCTGTTACCGTGTCCTGCCCCGGGCGATTGCTGGTGGCGCCGTGGGGTTTTAGTGGGTATGCACAACAGCGAGTCTCAACATAAACCTTCCCACAGGTCAACCATGCCGCGGGAGGGGTATTCGTAACGCATTTCCCCACGAAAAAAAAAAAAAAAAATTTTCAACTAAATGGTAACAAAACATTGTTTCGCCGAGAGAATCAACCTAACCAACACTTCAATGGCGATTTTTATCGTCACCAATTAATTAATGACAAAACCCGATTTTGTTGTAAAAATCGTAGGCAACTGGAAATTACATGCTACAAGAATATTGAAGTCGCAATCATGAAATTGTCTCGATGTGGACCTCATTTTGCCCTAATTTCCCAGATGTTAGTAAGTGCCGCCCAGAAGTTGTACAAAATGTTACACGTCCCAGAAATGTCGTATCCGGACGTAGCGGAGGCTGCTTTACAAGTGTGTCCCTTCCCCTCAATAAGAAAATATAGTAAATGGTTCAGGTTTGTAAAAAAATACCTATAGTGTCTTTTGTATACGGTTTACGCTCTTCGTTTTGTTACAGCAAGTATGTGCTGTCTTCGTTGTGATAATAATAGAACTGTAACAATCTGTAATATCTTAGTAATTAGTATTGTAATATCTTAATATATATAAATTACGCGTTGTCCGCTTTGGACTTCTAAACTACTTAACCGATTTCAATCAAATTTGCATACCGTGTGCAGTTTGATCTAACTTAAAAGATAGGATAGCTTACATCTTAATGTGCATATATCTGCAATCATCTTTTGCAAATTAATTGTTTATTATTTGACAGTCACAGTTCTAATAGATGGCGCTGTGTTGAAGTCGTTAAGCTACAATTTAATGGCATAACCAGCATAAAGCATAGTGGTCCCCATGGCTGGTGGTTTCCTACCGTTTCCCTTGAATAGTTAATACTATGTAATATAACAAAAACCTTAGCAACGCAACGCTTGGCCGAGTCCGCTTGTATAAATATAAATTACTTTACATATGTTTTCATTGTTCATACTTATGTTGTCAAGGCTGTTCCCGGTAATATAGTAAAAATGCACAAAAATTTAGTTTCTTCGCAAATCCTCCGACTTTTTAAATAAAGTCAATGACACTTTATAAGCAGGATTTTTGTTATTAAGAAACTAACTAGATCGTCAGTAAACGGTTAATAAATAATGCAAGATGCAGGAATATTTTCCAGTTCACGAGACAATACATTTACGTAACATAAAATATACTTTTAGATACGCCGTGGATTTAACAATTTGTATAGACTTGTTTGGGGCCTGCTGCGTCTACCAGATCATAATAGCGAAGACTGTAAAAGATATAATAGAAAATACACATGACACCCAAGAGGTTGTTGACTTGAACAGGTTAAGGCTGTATATTTTGGCCTTATTGATACCTATATTACTGCTTTGTATGATAAGATCGTTGAAGTACTTGGCCCCGTTTACGCTGGTTGCTGATGTATTTATTGGTAAGAATAACAACGTCTCTTCGTACTGTTACCCTAGTACTGTCAACATTAAGGTTGTAGGTTTAAGAAACAGTTTTTTTCAAGTAAAATTTGAACGTTGATTTAAATCATCTCGAAGAAAGTTGTATTTTAAGGAATTCTTATACCTAAAATTGGTTAGTACACTGTATGTGTGAAAAAATGGTAACTATGGTAACAACGGTGCTATCTCTAGTCCACGTTTTATGGGCACTCCTATATACAGGAAACTTCAAGCGAGCGTTAATATTGTAATTTGATTTGATGATGAAAGATAACATTTTGACGGCGAAACTTGTTTTTATTTTTTTCACACTCATGGGGTAATAAGTAATAATATGTTGACTTAATTTTCTACAATACCAGTGAGTAGCTTAAACTAAGGTAATGTTCATTAACAGTCTTAGTGTTCTATAATGTTTTGCCACTATGTTCGTGTGTCCGAGATACCGCACTTGCACTGATATTCACTACACCAGTTTTAGTAACTCAAAAGGTTTAGTTCACTTTAGGCGCCTTGTTTCTGTTGCATCAACAAGCTGGATTGCCTCAGCATTCTCATGGTTATGTAGCCTGTTAAAACCTTTCACCCTGTTTAGGACCGTTTTCATATTAAAATCCTTGTGGACAGAGAAACTTAAAGCTGAAGCTAAAAATATATTTTTATACTACGTTTCTTACAGTGGCCTGCGTAGTTGCAACAATAGTATATGGATTGCGAACAGCGCCACCTATCGCCACTGTACCAGGTTGGAAAGATGCTTTAGGCTTTTTTGAATTTTGCGGTATCGTTGTGTTCAGTATGGAAGGCATTGGAGTGATATTGCCTATAGAGAATAATATGCAGAATCCACAACAATATCTAATGGTAATAACATGCGGTAAGTTATAAAGAAATATCTTAATTAATTGTAATATATAGCCAATAAACTATTAATATGAGCGATACTAAAGTATTCATCCATCTCTCATATTCCACCCTGTTCAATCGTAAGACTTCTTCCTATCTCAAAAACGATACAAATTTTTGGGAACCCATAAAAAATAAAATAAACAAAATATGTTTATTATGGAATATAAGATACAGGTATCACTTATTCCACGTCATTAAATTTCAATCGGTAGACATCCCTACTCTTCGGCAAAGAAGACAGAGCGTGTAGGCCGAGAGAAAAAGCCGGCGTAAAAAACTCTCGGTAATCTTTTGAAATAGAAAAATCCTCATACAAAATACCTATAGCTTACGCTCTTCCTTCGAAAACTATATCTTGAAATCCCATCTCATAACTCTTCCTTTCTTGGCGAATCCTTTAAGGTCTCTGCAGTGAGCATAGCCTCACTGCAGAGGTTTTAGGGTGTAGAGAATAAATTTGTATCGAATTCCCTTCCCGTCCCTATACGCTTAGCTCCTTCTCTATTTTCCTTTAAATCTCTACTGTATAAGCATTACCAGTCCACATCGTACCCCTAACTTTCGTACTAACTGATCTGATATTATCGTGATTCATGTGCATTTTTTTCTTTTTCATGTGTCCTTTTTTATCATTGTCCTGTTCACTGTTTACATGTTTTAATTGCTTTGTTTTGTTCACTTAGTTTTGTCTAAATAACAATATTATGTCTTATGTATGTTGCACTTCTTGCGCTTACCTTATCTAATTTAGTTTTTAATTATTAATTATGTCAATTGCATATTTCCGTACATGCAACAAAATATTAATAAATAAATATTTTTGTTTAATACATTGAAAAATTGCATCCTAAATGGTAATGAACTTAGTGGCTTAAATTAATGAGGTCCGAGTTCAGTTCGTGGCACAACAATTCTTGTTTTGGGTTGGTAAGCTGGGCATATTTAAATCTTTTCATTCATGTCTGTTGTTTTGCAGGTATGACAATAGTACTCTTGTTTCTCATAACAGTTGGGTTTTTCGGATATTGGGGCTTTGGTGAAAATTCTATATCGCCGGTCACCTTGAATTTTCCCTCTGACTTGTAAGTAGAACTATGTATTTATAATCTTCGAAGTCTGGGAATCGATCAATGAACTTTTAAGCTAGCCTTTAATTATGAAGTACGTTGCAATTATTTAACAATTTTATGTCTATGTCGCAGCCACTAGCATAATCAGCCGTTCAATTAACAGCCTAGCATTTTAACTAAACAGCGACGTTTAACTAGCGGCCTGAAGTATATTCAGCCGTACCGTTTGTAACAACAATTTATTAACTAGCTGGCTAATGCTTAGGTCATTTCAGTGATTCTAAAATATGTATATTGTATATGTATATTTGCAAGTAAGAAACGTCATCGATCTAAGTCATTAGCCTAGCTGTTTGATCAACTGGCTGAATATCTTTCAGGCCGGAAATTAAACGGTGCTGTTTAGTTAAAAGGCTAGGCTGTTAATTGAACAGCTGATTAAGCTCGTTGGCTGCGACATCTACATCATACATAATAGTGCATGTTCTAATTATTTGGTTCTTACGCGCCCTTTTAAGGAGAACATTGAAAATTATGTACAAATATATAAAAATAATATTAGATGCAGGATCAAATTAGCATGGCGAGCATTTACCAAAGCAGTACATTGTATTTATTGAATGTTTTTTTTTATATTCTGTGCAGTTAAACTATGATACTAAACAAATTTGACGCATAATAATTTTTGATGATTAAATTTTTCCTTAAAGATTTCCAACAGTCCTCAAAGGCTTGATGGGTGTCATGATCTTTGTAACTTTTGCCCTCAACTTCTGGGCGCCTTTCAACCTCGTCTGGCATTATGTATCAAAGAAGCATGACCCGAAGAAACACTGGATTTGGGAGAGAGTATACAGAGCAGGTTTTATTGTTACTATAACAGCGATCGCTATAGGCTTTCCCAATATTGGAAACCTTATGGGATTGGTAAGTAAGATTTTATAATTTGTGTTTGGACTTTTTTTCCATTCCATTCCATTTCTATGTTTTAAGAGAATGTAGGGAACAAAAAAAAACTCTGTCTTAAAAAAAAAATGACATTTCGTATTTTATTTTGCTCTAATTAGACGGAAATTTTGGGAATCTAGAAAAACCGATATAATATCTAGCTAAGCAAACTAAGCTCTGTAAACTCTTCATTATAATAATAATAATAGTCTTTTAATTCAGATAACTTTACATTTAAACACGATTGTATTTTAATCTTCTTTTAGGTATCTGTGTAGCCTTTTTTGGCAAAGGCTTCCTTCAAATCCCGCCATTCCTCTCTGCATTGTGCAAATCTAATCTAAATCAAACCATACTTTTCTCCTTAATGATTAATTTGTGGCTAAATGAAATAAAGCCGGATTCTATATTAAAATCAGTCGTAATTACAGTATTTAATTTCTAAGGAAAAAGCGTCAAACATGCTTTATACAGAAAAGTCTAATTATCTTATGTATAAGGACCAGTCTATTTTACATCTATTTTTTGGTTAGTTGACGTAGTGATCAAAAGAGAGATGAAAAAATATTATTTTTTTGCCGTTCTGTTTTTGAAGTGAAAACTTCTTTAGCGGCGTTGTACACTTTTTTTTGGAATGGGTAAAAAATTTTAAACTCGCGTCAGGACACGTGACCGAAAATTCGTAATACGGATGGAGAGTAGACAGCTGGCGTGGCGTATTCAGTAATATTAATTGTCATGTTTGTGTACGATAGCGCAATAAATAAGTATTGTATTCTTCACACATAAATGATAGTACTTTTATACTGATAATTAAAGCAATTCGTGCAAAATTATTCCCTAACCATTCCAAAATATCAAAAATGCACAACGTTAATATTCAAGTTTTCACTTCTGCCGGCACTCCCAAAGAGCAACCTGTCGTTTTTTTTTTGTTTCGGATATTTCCTACGTTTGATAATTAGATCCTATATTCTTTCTAGCTTGGAGCGTTCGCTCTATCAAACATGGGCTTCATATTCCCAGCGATAATCGACTTGCTGGTGGTATGGGAGAAGCCAGGTCTAGGGAAATGGAAGTGGCGACTCTGGAAGAATATTTTTATAATAATTGTTGGAATCCTTTTGTTCTTCGCCGGAACGTATTCCAATGTTAAGGGATTGATATTACATTTGTAGTAAATAGTTATATAAAAGTTATTTATTATTGTTATTCATAGTGAATAAAGTTTATACTACACTTGGATAAGTTAGTTAGTTTTAGAGCCTACTACATCGAACTTGGATACAAAAGTCGTCATCGCTATCGCTGTCGCTATTAGGCGTTACAGTGTACATGCGCTACTCGAAGAATATGTTATACCAGTGTTTTTCAAACTTTTTTGTGCCACCTTAGCCTTTCTAAAGTTGTTAGCTATCTTTCTAAATATACATATTTTTATATACATATTTTTTAGTATTAAAAAATCTAATTGTTCGCTTAAGAAACTTAAACTTTCCTTAAATTTTTTTTAGGAAAAAATCAATTCTCAGTACATATAATGAAAAACTGGGGCCCCACGTTGGGAAACACTGCTTTATACCTTTTTTTATAACGAGGCAGATTGAATTACCATCACCTAGAGCGGGTTAATAAGCTATGTAATATTTATTTAATGTGTAAAAAGCAATAATATCTTAATATATATAAATATCCTCCTAAACTACTAAACCGATTTCAATCAAATTTGCCCACCATGTGCAGTTTGATCTAACTTAAAAGATAGGATAGCTTACATCTCAATTTATACCTGCAATATTATTTTATTACAAATTATTTATTTATTATTTGACAGTCAAAATTCTAACAGATGGCGCTGTGTTGAAAGTACCAACTTTCACATAACTACAATTTAATGGCATAACCACCAAGCATGATGGCCCTCATGACTGGTGTTCTCCTACCGTATCCCTTGAATAGTTTACTACTATGTAATATAACAAAAAACTTAGCCGCAGCAACGCTTGGCCGAGTCTGCTAGTATTATATATAAACATGACATCCTTTATTCGAATATTGTACTATACTCAAGTGTTGACGTTGTGTTTGCAAATGTTTTAAATTCAGATTTCATTTGAGCATTGACCAACTGCTGACATAGCTTACAACCAATGCAGCTAGCCAGCCAATGGAATGTAAAATGTGTGGTTAAATTTATATGTATTAAATGTCAGGAGTATCTATATAGTATATGTAGTGCTAGAGACCTAAGGTAATAGACGGAGCCCTACGGGTAGGATCAAAGGTTTAAGTTGGTGGGGTTATCTCAAAGCTATCGCAGCTAACCACGATGATTAAGGGCTTGAAGTAATCTTCTCAACTTTGAGAGAAAGCGAAATGAATAAGACAGAGCAATATTCAAATCTGATTTATTGTAATAAGACAATATCTTACATACTACTTACACCTATTCACACAACTACATAAAAAATAAAAATCAGTGGCGCTGCAACCTCTTTAGGTCTGGGCCTCAGATTTCCGAATCTGTTTCATGATCCTTTTTCAATCTAATAGGCAAGTAGGTGATCAGCCTCCTGTGCCTGACACACGCCTGACACACTTTTTGGTTCTAAGACACGTCGGTTTCCTCACGATGTTTACCTTCACCGTTCGAGCGAATGTTAAATGCACACCAAGAAAGAAAGTCAGCAGGTGCACAGCCGGGAATCCTACCTACGACCTCAGGGATGAGAGTCGAACGCTGAACCCACTGGGCCCACACTGCTCACACATAATAGATAATATTATTCTTGTGAGCTGTTGGTGAATCGCGCGCATTCAGCTGTTAAAACTTAGATCTACCACGTGAACCGTAGTTGGTATATGTTCAAATAATTCATATTTAAATTACTTTTGTGGCTGTCGGTGTAACGCATCTTCAGCAATAAAAGTATATACTAGCCACGTGAGCCGAGTCAGCAATCTGAACAATGAATTATAATTATAGAGTTTTCACATTAAAAGGATGTAACGAGTCTAGCGACGATCTATATCTATAGGCTATTTATAATAAAACACTGCCACACTATATTATCTCGCCAATAATATTAAAAAACTTCAACCAAAGTTATCAACGTTAAAAGGTTTGATAAATAATTAAATCTTATAAGATTTAAATTAAGAGCCATAAAACACATATATAGTAGATAACAGTCTGGTATTATCTACTTTCTTATTTATACAGGGTTTAAATATAGAAACTGTATTAAAATGTACCTATCTATCAAGTCCCATAAGCATTTCTTGCTTCACGCATTATTCCAAATGTGTTTTTATTTTACTTACCAAAGAAGGTACGTGCTAGTAAAGGTATGTATAGAATGCCTGTAAATTATACTTATAAGACACCATAAAAACCTTAACGTAAAATAAAAATTGTGCGTGTACTAGGTGTACACACGTAAGAAGTGAAACTTCTTTATGATCTTATTTTTCGAAAAATGATCTACTATATGCAACTTTACAGAAATTCGTTAAATTAGATAAAGTTTAACAAAAGGCTTTTATTATCATAGACATGAATACAAATATTTCATTTTACCTTATTACTACGAAGATTATTGTAGAATTTCATTAATTGTAATAGAATTATTACTATCATTGAAAAACGTGACGATTTCCTACAAAATTTCTCCCATACGTCGATAAAGAAGTTTCATTCCAACGCCGATAAAGAAGTTTGACTTCAAAAAGCAACATGGCGCGTAACCGAAAAATGTGACGCGTAACGAAAAAATGTTACACTAAATTTTTTTCCAACCTCGATAAAGAAGTTTCACTTCAATAAATGGGTATGATTGAATGGTTTAGATAGAATGTACCACTTTTGTAGGAAACAAATGAAACATAAAAACATCCGCATGTATAACGCAGATATTATTCATTATTTACAGAAGACATACGCAAACAAAATTTGACGAATATAATTAAAATGGATGTGGATCTTATCAACAGTGTCGCGTTTTACATAAAATGGAGTTAAGTGAAAAACAGGTGCGTCTTACAAATATTATATCTAAGTGTGTTTCAATAAAAGTAAAAAGAAATTGTATTGTATAAGAATAAGTTACTCTTTCGAGATACTATTTCAGTAATTTACGTCGAGGTAATGGAATTAATTATTTCTTATCAATATGACATTGTATGTAATTATATTCTTTCTTAAAGTAATACACAATTTCAATCTGAATTTGGCCTTTGTCTACTTGACTACTAGTTAATATAAAACTGAAATTACGTCACAATAAATATAATAATTTTTTTTTAAAACAAATTTAAAAAGTTTGGCCCTGTCTGTGGCAGGCATTTTATTATTTTTATAATGCTGGCAACAATTTAAATATTTAATTACCGCCTGTATATTTAAAGAGCCCATGCGTCTCTACTCCAAAGGGAACAAATTAAAAGTTGGAAACTGAAATTAGTTTTTGTTTTCTTATAATTAAGCCGGTGCAGACCGAAAGCTAAGCTGGAGGCTACACTAAGCTATGCCAACTAAAATATTTAATGTACCAAGCAAAAGCTGTAGTGTTGCATTCTATGTGCAAAGGGTGCCCAGTAGCGGGGCTAGCTCGTGTAGCTGCCAATCGGCATAACAACAAATTAGCTTCAATTTTAGTTGGCTCTAGCTAGTGATAGTTTGCGGTCTGACAGATTAGTTTAAATTGTTTTCTAAGTAACTTAGCTCTTGGTCTGCAACGCGTATTAAGGTGTTTTAAAGAGTCTTTCTCAATCGAAACATATGCTAGTTGTTCGGCCTAATACCTGCAGCTGAGTTTCATCAGACGTCAAGGCAGAATACAAAATACCATCCGTATCACCTCAACGTCCGTCGTTCCACAACTGAGCGTTTCTTAAGGAAATTTGTGCCGCACACCACCACTATGCGGGACCGGGTGCCCACTGAAGTATTTCCGAACTTATGGTCCTTCAAGAAAAGAGCGTACCATTTCTTAAAAGGCCGTCAACGCACTTGCGAGCAATGACAATGTGAGTGTCCATAGGGCAGTATCACTTAACATCAGATGAGCCTCCTGCCCGTTTGCCTCCTATTACATAAAAAATGCTAAGAAGTATTAGGTCCTTACATATGAAATTGGCGTTTTGTATGGGAGGAACAAAAAGTCGAATATTTTTAAATATAATATATTTAATTATTCAAAGTATGAACCATTGTTTTCTATGCACTTTTGCCATCTCATAGGTAGTTCATTGATCCCTTTACTAAAAAAACCAGTCGGACGGGAATCAATAAAATCTGTGAAGGCGATTTGGACTGCCCCATCAGAGTTAAATTTTTTCCCTTGCAAGTAGTTGTCCAAATTTCGAAAAAAATGGTAATCTGTTGGAGCAAGGTCCGGGGAGTACGGAAGATGTCTTAGACATTCCAATTGAAGCTCTTCTAATTTGGTAGCCGTCTGTTGTGCAGTGTGTGGTCTAGCGTTGTCGTGAAGTAGCAGTGGCGTGGAGCGATTGACCAGCCTAGGTTGTTTAGCCGCTAGCTTTTCCATCATGGTTTGCAATTGCTGACAATAGACATCAGCCGTAATAGTCTGGCCAGATTTGAGAAAACTGCAATGTCCACCAAACTCCCGGCACTAGTCCACCAAACGCTTACAAGTAACTTTTTTGGGGTTAATTTTCGCTTGGGGCAGGATTTGGCTGGCTGGCCAGGATCCAACCATTGCGCTGAGCGCTTTCGATTATCGTAAAGAATCCATTTTTCATTACAGGTAATGATTCGGTTTAAAATACCTTCATTATTGTGCCGGTTCAGTAATGTAAAGCAACAGTCGACGCGCGTTTGCCGGTTTGCTTCAGTCAATTCGTGAGGTACCCATCTTTCAAGCTTTTTAATCTTCCCAATTTGCTTCAAGTGAATTAAAACAGTTTTATCACTAACACCGCAGCCTGCAGCTAACTCGGACGTGGTTTGCGATGGATCCGCTTCCACAATAGCCTTCAATACTTCATTATCAACTTGGGTCTCAGGCCGTCCACGGGGCTTGTTCTGCAGGTCGAAATTTCCAGAACGAAAACGTTGGAACCAAAAACGAACTGTGTTTTCTTTTGCAACATGACCGCCATACACATTATTCACCCTTCGAGTCGTTTCCGCAGCACTAGTGCCACGGCGGAACTCGTACTCGTAAATAATGTGATACTTTAAGTTTTCCATTTTGTAAAATGAGTGACGCAAACAGAAAAAAACAAATGAATGACGGTCATCGAAGCACAAATACATGAGTAGAGTAGAAATAGCTGTACAAATTTGAATTTGGAATTCCTTACCAAAGAGGAGAACATCGTGATTAAAGTGGTATATTTATGGTATATATTATGGATAATTTGGAGCCCACACAGGGATACCGTCAACTTTTGATGCAACTGATTAGGACCAAATATATTATAGACCTCTTTCTCGGTGGGGGAAGCGGCCGGATATGATTTTATATTATTTTTTTTTTGAAAAAAGGGGGGGGGGGGGGGGGGGGGGGGGAAAAAGGGGGGAGGGAAAAAAAAAAGAAAAAAAAGAAAAAAAGAGGGGGGGGGGGGGGGGGGGGGGGGGGGGGGGGGGGGGGGGGGGGGGGGGGGGGGGGGGGGGGGGGGGGGGGGGGGGGGGGGGGGGGGGGGGGGGGGGAAGGGGGGGGGGGGGGCCCCCACACGGGGGGGGGGGGGGGGGGGGGGGGGGGGGGGGGCGGGGGGGGGGGGGGGGGGGGGGGGGGGGGGGGGGGGGGGGGGGGGGGGGGGGGGGGGGGGGGGGGGGGGGGGGGGGGGGGGGGGGTGGGGGGGGGGGGGGGGGGGGGGGGGGGGGGGGGGGGGGGGGGGGGGGGGGGGGGGGGGGGGGGGGGGGGGGGGGGGGGGGGCGCCCCCCCCCCCCCCCCCCCCCCCCCCCCCCCCCCCCCCCCCCGGGGGGGGGGGGGGGGGGGGGGGGGGGGGGGGGGGGGGGGGGGGGGGGGGGGCCGGGGGGGGGGGGGGGGGGGGGGGGGGGGGGGGGGGGGGGGGGGGGGGGGGGGGGGGGGGGAAAAAAAAAAAAAAAAAAGGGGGGGGGGGGGGGGGGGGGGGGGGGGGGGAGGAAAAAAAAAAAAAAAAAAAAAAGAAAAAAAGGGGGGGGGGGGGGGGGGGGGGGGGGGGGGGGGGGGGGGGGGGGGGGGGGGGGGGGGGGAAAAAAAAAAAAAAAAAAAAAAAAAAAAAAAAAAAAAAAAAAAAAAAAAAAAAAAAAAAAAAAAAAAGAAGGGGGGGGGAAAAAGGGGGGGGGGGGGGGGGGGGGGGGGGGGGGGGGGGGGAAAGGGAGGGGGGGGGAAAAAAAAAAAAAAAAAAAAAAAAAGGAAGGGGGGGGGGGGGGGGGGGGGGGGATGGAGAAAATATTTTTCCATTATTTTTCGTAGATTGTTCTTTTGTTCTACTTTTGCGTGTCCGTTTGCCAGGGGGCAAAGGCCTCCTCCAATCTTTTTATGGCCACTCTACCCCATGTTGTTCCCGCGACTTGTATAATGTCGTCGTCCCAGCTTTTTTGTGGGCTACCTCTCTTTCTCTTTCCATCTCTTGGGTACCATTGTGTGATTATTTTACTCCATTTGTCCTTTCTAATGATTGATAATAAGTGCAAGACTAAAAATACTACTTTAGTTTTTCATCTTACAAAAGTATATAACAATAGTTATTTTTAATATATTCATTGCGATTGCTTATGATCGTCGGGAATGTTTTCGAAATACACATTTTATATCTTTCAGAGCAAGAACTATGTGGATCATGGTGATCCACAAGAATCAAAATACACCCACAGCAACAATGAGCAGAAAGAATATGACTTTGTTGCCAACCGACCTGTACGAAAACGAAATAAGTACCTATATATTTTTTTCTTTCATTAAATTAACTTAGCTTATATTCCTAATTGACGACCATCGGTCCAGAGTGGTTAGACCCACATGTGAATCTAGCGAATCCATGGGTCCCGGTTCGATCCTAACGAACTTGGTGGGTTAGTATTCCGCCTGTATCACCTTGACATCCATCGTTCCACAACTAATCGTTTTTTAAAGGCAGTTTTTGCCGCGTACCACCACTATGGAACCAGCTGCCTACTAAAGTAATTCCGAACCAATTCGACTTAGGGTCCTTCAAGAAAAGAGCGTACCGATTCTTAAAAGGCGTAGCTAGTGAGCCCTTTGGCATTGAGAGTGTTCATTAGCTTATCACTTAACATTAGGTGTCCCGTTTTATTACAAAAAAAAATGTTTGATTCCCTATAATGGTATTATCGATAAAGGTGAACCTTCAAGAAGTTTTCAAATATTTATAAAAGTTTAGCTGAAGTTTGGCTAGACCATGAGCTTTTGCTTTTGAGTGACGGCAACACAAATGGATTGTGCTTACTCGTAATTTAACACATGCTTCTTCGGTAATGGAATAATTGTGAGAAAACTGGCACGTCTTATAAACAAAACTCCACGGTGTCTGCCTGGCTCATATGACTGATTAACATGCGAAAAAATATTAATTACTAATTCAGGAATATGAAGTCAAGATGATTATAGTGTATTTTAACTGTATGTAATGAAATTTTAAAGTAACAAAAAATACTGAATCTACCTATAAGTGATATCAGCTGTATGTGTTTTTATAACTATAAATAAACAAAAATCAGTGGCACTTCAACCTTTTTAGGTCTGGGCCTCAGATATCTATATCTGTTCCATGATCATTTGTCAATCTAAACGGCAAGTAGGTGATCGGCCTCCTGTGTCGTCGACTATTTGGGTCTAAGGCAAGCCGGTTTCCTCACGATGTTTTCCTTCCCGTTCGAGCAAATGCTAAATGCGCACATAGAAATAAAGTCCATTGGTGTACAGCCGCGGCTCGAACCTACGACCTCAGACTGAGAGTCGCATGCCGGCGCACTGCTCGTTAATAACTATACTTTGATTTTTAAAATATTTTTCTATAATATAGCCTCTTCGAAGCAGTAGGTCACTTTGTAAAAAGTTGTCTTGGGGGTGGAATCCTTGGTATCCACGAGGCATTCATGAAATGCGGACTTTGGACTGCCCTAGTTGTATCTATTATCTTTGGAATCTACATCTCATATTGCTTACACGTAAGTATGTAGAAAATGAATTTGTTATCAACTTATACAGTATTGGTTGGATAGATGCAATATTATTAGTGTGTGATCCAGGTAGTAGAAACCTTCAGTATTTGATTTACATGCTGTACTCCGCGTCGTTTCAGTCGTATTGTATAATATATTATTTTTGATAAGTAGGCTTTCCAATAATAAATAATAAAAACTTTAATCATGGCAGAAATAGGTTGTGACAAAATTCATCTACCGTTAGTCCCCACACAAGGGAGTCCCTGTGTTGTGGGTAACTAGATAACAATTATTACGTGTTACATGGTACATGTCATCATATTATATTGGTGTGTTGTTTATGTACATAATATAGATATATATATAGTCATAATATAATCCTGGGTTTAACTCTGTAAATGAATAATTATTTCTGGGTGATGTGCACTTACTGGCCTATGTCGTAAAAAGACAAAAGGTATACAGAAACGTGATTGATTTCAAACATGTTACTCAACATATATTTATAAAAATTGTAATACTTTTTATATAGTATTTTGTTTGCTCTTTTAATTCATAGATATTGGTAAGTGCGGCACAGAAGTTGTGCAAACAGTTGCACGTCCCTGAGATGTCATATCCAGACGTGGCAGAGGCTTCGCTTGAAGTCTGTCCTTTCCCCTCATTAAGGCGATATAGCAAATGGTTCAGGTACACTATTTATTTAAAGTCTAGTCTTAGCTGGACAGAGTGTTACTAAAAATAATATTAAATAATTTCAAAATTGTTTTAGCTCTTTATGCATAAGTAAGAACTTAAGTTCTCTCGCTTGAAATTCCCAGATACTTCAATATTTAATTGTTTTAAAACAGAATTATTAATGGTATGAGAAAACAATCTTGCACAATCATCTTTCTTAATTTATAAATCATTAAAATAATATTGTACTATAATTAAAAAACGTTTACTAATTAATAACCGAAATAATTATATTGACGTTTAACGCCTATCAGTCGGGTTGATTCACCTTACAAGTAGGAATTCGGGTGCAGTTCTTTTTTTAATAAAAAAACTAAATTTCAGGTACGCTGTAGACCTAACAATTATCATAGACTTATTTGGAGCATCTTGCGTCTACCAAATAATGATAGCTAAAACTATTATGGAAGTTGTGGAAAATCGTGAAGGTTCTAAAGAATTGGACCTGGGTAGATTACGGCTTTACATTTTGGCGTTGTTGATACCGATTTTAATACTTTGTATGATACGAAGTTTTAAATATTTGGCACCGTTTTCTATAATTGGGGATTTATTTATTGGTAAGAGAAGACAATTATGTACAGATTCAATTCAATACATGCATCTTACCAACAAAACGACGTTTATAATAAATTAGGTTTGTTTAACCTTTGCAAATGGGCAGGACGCTCATCTGATGTTAAGTTTTACCGCCGCCCATAGACACTCAATGACAGTGACTTAGTTACTGCGGAACCAGTATTCCACTATGTGGAACCAGCGGCCTACTGAAGTATTTCCGAACCAATTCAAGACTTAGGGTCCTTCAAGAAAAGAGCGTACCAATTCTTAAAAGGCCGGCAACACACTCGCGGGTCCTCTGGCATTGTGTATCCATGGGAGGCGGAATTACTTAACATCAGGTAAGCCTGTCTTGTCTTTATGTCTCCTGTTATATAAAAAAACCTTTGAACGCCCACATACGATGAAGTAAAATGAGGGTAAGACTCGAAATCGAGCCTCAGAGTGAACTTTAGCCTTTTGTAATACATAACTTTACAGTGATTTGCGTGATTGCGACTGTTGTGTACGGTCTCAGATCGGCTCCCCCCATTTCCACGGTACCAGCATGGAAGGACGCCGTGGGTTTCTTTGAATTCTGTGGTATCGTTGTATTTAGTCTAGAAGCTATCGCGGTCATCTTACCAATAGAAAATAATATGAAAAATCCTAAACAGTTTCCTGCTGTAATTGCATGTGGTAAGACTGGAATTTTGACGTTTATTAAATCAATACTCCGAGTTTGTTTCGACATTTCTTCTCAGGGCAGTCAGTTAGGAAATGTCGACTTCATCTAGTTTAGGATGACATTGTAAAAGTGATTTATACTCCTACATTATAGTCCTACTTGCAAGAATAAACTATTTCATTGCATTTCATTTCATTTCAATACGTAAGTCTAAAACAGATCCATTACGAAAGTATTAAATTCCTTAAAATATACATTTTAAAACAACCTTTTGGTCTGGGCCTTAGATGTCTGTATCTGTTTCGTGGTAGGTGATCAGCCTTCTGTGCGTCTCGTAGTTTGCCTTCACCGTACGAGCGAGTGTTAAATACGCACATAGACAGAAATAATTTTGCGCACATACAAAGATTGCACGCCGGGGATTGAACCTACGACCTCAGGGATGTGATTCCAATGTTAAGGCCACAATATGTTATGCATTATTCTTGTATTATACAGACATATAAATAATAATTAGTCCGAAAATGCTATTACGTTAATTATTGGTTGCCCAAAATCAATACGTATACCTTGCATAATACTACAGTCAAAACCGTTTACTACGACATCGTTTAGAACAACATACCGGTTATATTGGCCAAAATCAAAGATCTCGGCTGAATTCTATTGTATTAGGTACTTTATAACATCATCGGCTGTTACGACTATCGGTTTTTACGACCAAATATGTGTAGTCCCTTCGATGTCGTTATAACAGATTTTGACTGTATTTAATATTATAAAACTCATTCTATGAATATAAACGAATAGCTATCAATATGTTTTCTTTTAGGTATGTTCACAGTGTTATTATTTCTATTAACAATTGGTTTCTTTGGGTATTGGGGCTTCGGTGAGAACTGCGTTACCCCAGTCACGTTGAACTTCCCTAACGATGTGTAAGTTATTTTTTACGAATTTTTGTTCGTTTTGATACAATGTTTTAATATTGAAGCAAAATAAGGTAAGAATAAGTATTTTAATAAAAAAGACGATGTAAAAATATTTTCTATGACATAAAAAAACGTTGAAATGAGTGTATTTTAACTGATAGGAAAGCAATCAAGAATGGAGAAATTTACGTAATGGACACTTCTTTTTACTGCCAATGCCACGTTAGATCTACTTTTCCGACGTTGACAGTGACCATGGGCGGCGGTGTCACTAAACATCGGAAACCTCCTGCTCATTTTCCCCTGTTAAAAAATACCTAAGTCCTTATTAGCATTAAGCACAAAATATTGCATATACTGTGAGATAACGATCGTTTCTCTTAAATCAACAGATTTCCTACAGTCATAAAAAGTCTAATCGGAGTCATGATTTTCCTTACATTTGCCCTCAACTTTTGGGTTCCTTTCAATCTGGTCTGGCACTACATATCAAAAAGGCATGACCCGAAGAAACATTGGATTTGGGAGAGAGTGTACAGAGCGATTTTCATTGTTTTAATAACTATAATCTCAATTGTATTTCCTAATATTGGAAACTTTATGGGTTTGGTAAGTATTTTAATATTATAAGACAGATAGAATTAAGGTTGTTTGAATTCTGTGGTATCGTTGTATTTAGTGTAGAAGCTATCGCGGTCATCTTACCAATAGAAAATAATATGAAAAATCCTAAACAGTATCAGAAATAAGGTTTAAAATGCTGAGCATAATTGGAATGTCATTTATTAACTAATATAGAAAAACTAAACGAAAATCTGTACGTATTTAGAAAATATAACAAACTATTTTTTTCCCAAGTTATCTATACGAAACGTAATCGAATGAAAATATTTCCTAATGTAATGTGCAAAATACCAAGGTAGGGTAAAATTACATAAAGAAAACATCATAACCAAGGTAACAAACTCATCTTTTAACCCACTGAATAATATGGTATTTTATTTATATTTTGGGTTTATTGAGACCTTTCGCATTCTTTGGGCGTGGTCAATTGAAGGCCCAGACAATTCTATTTTTAAATTTACAATTGCATCTGCGATATTTCTTATTTTTGAACACGTTTCTATATAAATCAGGATTAGGTCAAAAAAATTATTTGTAAATTGTTGTTTTATTTAATTTAATATTAACATTTCAGCTTGGGGCTTTTGCTCTATCAAACATGGGCTTCATATTCCCAGCCATAATAGATTTACTAATTGTATGGGAGAGGCCAGGCCTAGGAAAATGGAGATGGCGTCTCTGGAGAAACATTGCAATAATATTTGTTGGAATACTTCTGTTCTTTGCTGGAACTTATTCTAATGTTAAAGGACTATTAAAAACCATATTATAGCTATTATGTATGTCCATAATTTACGTTCAATGTGTGTATTATAAGGAAGCCGTTTAATTTTCTTTATATTTCAAAAATGTGTTTTTAATAAATATTGTACAGCACATATATAGTTTTATAAACATAGGTTAATCAATGTTTATTAAAAGTGTTGGCCTAGTGGCTGAGGCGTGTAAATCTCAACCCCAAGAACGTGTCTTTGAAATACGCCTGTGCAGCAATGGATTTTTCTTTCTATGGCATCGCATACTGACGCATTTTTTGAAAGCGAACATAAAAAGGAAACTGATATGTTTTGGACCAAATCGACGACATATTGTGTCATTCACAGAAGTCTGATCATCTTCTGTATAAAGAAATAAACTGACTAGCGCATATGGATGATTATAAAAAAAACATGCTTTATACTAAAATAAGTAACTCAAAATTTTCAATAAAATCTATTTTTTTTAATTAATAACATAAAACATGAACAAAATTAATAGGTTCATTTAACAACGAAACATCCAAAAAATTTAAAAATTAACCGACCAATTATCTATCTCTAACAAAATTATTTTTAAGGCGGTATCAAATAGAATTTTAACAAACATTTAGATTATCGCTATATACTTTGAATCTTTGTTTTTTTTTCTTTCTATAAAATAATCCATTGAAGAAAAGTATCTAAAGGCACAATGTTGCAGTGTCAAACTTGAGCTAAAATGGATTGACTGATCTCAAAAAGATTTGGATTTGAGCCGAGTGTAAAATACGGGCCTCTTAAACCCACAGCTATTTGGACTTATCTAAACACAGACATCAACTCATTGATATTAACAACGGAACCACACACGAGGAAGAAACATCCAATACCAATTAGCACAATACATTTCCACAATCTCCAATTATATTTGCCCAATCCAGGCCGTTCCCAATTTGTCAGCAAATAAATCATGTTGGGCCAAATGAATGCCATATTGGACAAACAAAATGTTCCGAGCTGCGAAAAAAAGTACAACAAAATTTTATTGCGGTTAAATGGTAAAATGCAAATGATCCCTATTGAAATGTTGCATTGCCTCATGTTTCGTGTAGTGGGTTTGTGATTTATGTTTTCTTTTAAATAATTGTTTATTAATTGTTAACACTTTGGTTCAGTGTATAAAGCTGTCACTCCAAGAGGCACTGAAAATCAGAGTTGCTAGTGGCAGCGAGTGCATTTTGATTAAAGTAATTGTGTTAGTATTCCTTTCATTTGCACGTATGTATGATTTACAACAGACATACAACGTTGTTTCAAGTATATCTCCAATGTTATTTTTAGATAGGAATTTTAAAGAGTCTATAATTATTATCAATTACATAGTAATAGTGATACCTTACTATGTAATTAATTACCTACCGCAAGTATAATGTATGCATACATGTTAAGGAAAATATCAGTATATATACAGAATTTCCTGTTACTCTAGGTTCCCAAAGACGTTAAAAATACTTACGAATCCCATCAAGGCGTTAATATTAGGAAAACAGACGGCAATCACACCGATTAGCATTACGAAACACGCCCTATATATGAGCTCCCATTTCAGCAACTGGTCTTCGGGATGTCGCTGTTTCAAATAGTAGAAGCACAAATTGAACGGTGGCCAGAAGTTCAAAGCGTGTGTTATATAAATCATGACGACAATCAGGAACTTTAAGATCTTCGGCCCACTGTAAGACAATTTATTTTGTGAACACTGTAAATCTATATACTAAACCATAATACCAATACTTATCTAATATAGGGTGTCTCAGTAAAAGTGCGCTTTTTAAAAATTTTATTTTTTTTTTCAAGTGGCAACGCTTTTTGAAAGAACAACGTGTTATAATTGTGAAAACTCATTACAAAAATGGGGAAAGTTACGCTTAAACCGCTCGCAAACTTCGCCAAATTTTCAGCCAAGAAAGTACACCTAATGCTTCAACCATTCGAAGAGTGGTCAAAAAATTTGAAGAAACTGGGTCAATTATGGATAATAAGAATCCTTTGCGTCAACGTACCGGTCGGTCTCTTGAAAACGTTGCTGCTGTAAACGAGTGTCGCAGAAAAAACGAAAACATCAATTCAACATCGTTCTCAACAACTTCTAATTTCAGGAAGCACTACGCAGGGAGCTTTGACTAAAGACCTCCACTTTCATGCGTACAAGATTCAGTAAACTCAGGAGCTCAAACCAGCAGACCTCGGAAAGCGCCGGCAATTCAGTCAATGGGTAATGGAGCAAAGTGCGAAGACAATGCCAATTTTTCGAAAAAATCCGATGAAGCGCATTTTCATATGAATGGCTTCGTGAATACACAAAATTGTCAAATTTGGGACTCAGAAAATCCTCATGCAATCCATGCGAAACAAATGCACCCACAACGAGTAACTGTCTGGTGCGGATTTTGGTCAGGCGGCGTGATAGGACCTTACTTTTTTTTAAATGAGGCCGAAATTGCAGAGAATGTGAACGGCATTCGTTACAGGAATATGATAACGGACTTCTTGTGACCTCAACTGGATGGCATGAATCTGGAAAATATGTGGTTTCAGCAGTACACTGCGCAACACAACGCGCTTGAAACATTCGACTTATTGCAGCAACGATTTCCAGAACACATTTTCTCCCGAAATTCTGATGTCAACTATCCACTACAATCGTGCGATTTAACGCCGTGCGATCTTTTTCTTTAGGGTTTTGTGAAATCTCGAAAACAATTCCTGAGCTCAAATCCAACGCGTCATCTCTGTGCAAATGTCATGGAAAATTTCATGAAAAGAGTGTTGGCCAGTCATCGGAGCCATGGGGGTCATTTGCCGGATATTTTACTCCATACTTAATCGGAACATGTCTTCTTTACAAAACAATAAAAATAACACAACTCTGTCATAAAATACTAGTTTTTATTTTAAAATGAAAAAGTGCACTCTTACTGAGACACCCACTGTTACTAAATTAAATATTTGTGTTTTTGTAACGAAAAGATCATTCACCATTCACCATTAGAATGCAATATAAAAAATATGTTTCGCCGTGCGAAACTGGGACAACTACTTCGTTTCATAAATAATGAATCGACCAAGCCAAGATTTATATACTGCTCAAAACAATTAGCGGAACAAGATTTTTCTCCTTTCTATTGCTTAAACTAAAATTAGATTTAAATTAACTTGTACGCTATTTTTTACCTTGTTAATTTGTTAATTACTACAATTAATAAAAAGTTCAATTTGTATTTTTTTATTAAAAAAATTAAAATGTATTGTAGACGAAAAACAAAGTGGTCTTTGAATTTTCATTACTTTCTAATCACAGAAAACACATTTTAAGTAGTTTTTTTCAATCTTTTGAGTATTAATAGAAATTGAAGTGAGCCTTTTGAGTATTGTTATTCATTGAAGCGAGTGAGTTTAGGTCATAATGCCAGATCTGACTGAATTGCATGTCTCCCGAGCGATAGCTTTGCTTGAAGAGGGTCAAACTATGCGTTATGTAGGAAATGATCTAGGAGTGTTGTCTACAGACTTTGGAAGCGATACCGTGAGACGGGAGAATACTCACGAAGGCGTGGTCAAGGTCGAAAGAGAAAACTACACTTTGCAAGATCGCTACATCGTCAACTGTGCTTTACTAACCGCACCACAACTGCAAGAGGATCTACAAAATACACTAACGCTACTGGTCTGAGAAATTTCCGACCAGACGGGTAAGAAATAGGGTTGTTGGAACAATTTGAGTCCCCGCCATTCGGCTGTGCGTCTAACAATTCAAAAAAAAAAAAAAAAAAAAAAAGGCCCGCCGGCAGTTCGCGCAAAATCATGCTAGTTGTTCATTTTAAATTGGGGCCAGTGCTTTTACTGACGAATCACGATTCCGTCTAACACGTTGCGATGGTCGTCTCCGTTTTACAGATGGGGGGGGGGGAGCCCAGGGGGGGGGGAGGGAAACAGTGCAGCAGCAGTCCAGGAATATGACAAATTTGGATGTGGCTCTGTGATGGTTTGGGGCGGAGTTATTTGACGAGCGCACAGATCTCGTTGTTGTTCCCGGGCGCTTGTGTGCTCAACTTACATAAAATAGTGGGGGCGCGAAGATCATGTTTGGCCCGCGGGGGGGGGGAGGGGGCCGGGATTTTTTTTAATGCAAGATAATGCCAGGCCGCATACTGCAGCCATCACGTCAGATTACCTTACGCGACAGCAGGAAATCCGTGTAATGGGGTGGCCTTCCATGCCCTGACCTAAATCCAATTGAACACATTCGGGACTTCTTGACGTTCATAAATAATGTGATTGAAGAATGGCGACCAAGCCAAGAAGATATTAATACGAAGCATGCCCTGTTGTCAGCCGTGCGTGATTAGGGCTCATGGAGGCCACACACGTTACTGTAAGTCACTAAAGACGAATATTCAAACGATATAAGAATATTTTTTGATGGACCGTTATCACCAATTAGTTTTGAAGGAGTTCTCACTTTTTTTAATAAAAAATACAAATTGAATTTTTTTATTAATTGTAGTTCTTAACAGATTACAAGGTAAAAAAAGCGCAAGTTAATTATCTAGTTTTAGTTTAAGCAATAGAAAGGTGAAAAATCTTGACCGCTAATTGTTTTGAACAGAATTATCTATATCAATCTATTGGTATTTTTGGAATATTCCGTATCGCGCCACCGCGATTTGGAGGCCGAATCAGTTCCACTATCCACGTGGTCTTGTCTGCCTTACGAAATACGGCGCGATACGGAATATTTACCGTATGTTTTTGTATCTTAATTTAAGTCTAAATATATCTACATACATTACAGCCAAGTCTACTTATTATGTAGATTATTTCAGTGACGGATTTACGAATTAAGGTATTATATCATAATCAAGGTATATGCTGTGAAGTTGGGCTAACTTGCCTCACGTAACATAGTTTTGGGTTTGATTTTTGAGAAAAAAATTATACCCAAACCATCCAGTTCGCAGCCTCCAACCGGTAG